CGTCCTGGTCACGGCACCAAATGTTATAATCCAGAAGGCGTGCCTGGGTTAATAGGTTGTTTATTAGCATCAACGTGTTCGGACATTGACAAAACAACACAAACGTTACAAACATCTTCATTTGCCAAGTGGCTGTCCTGTTCACTTGAAAACAGTCAACGTCCAACGGAGGAGCGGTCAGGTGGTTTGCAGATCGTCGCTTACCTTATTGCGCCTGGATTGCTGAACTTAGCAGTGTTCGTTAATCCACAATTGTCCCTAGTTCTGTCTTCAGCAATCAACTACTTAATAAGTAGTATATACACTCACAACACTCCTCCCCCCTGACAAAAAAAGGACGATCCAAATCCTGCAGACTGTCTTCAAGTCTTTCTCTATTCCGAGGTTCATACCTCCAACCCCGGTTCGTGGTGGTGTTGTCATCCGTCCCACAGTTCCTCCGGTGGTATGCTTTTTCCGGTCCGTGATACACACCGACACCAGCCTTGTTTCTAGATGGCAATAGTGAAGAGTGAATACTGAACACAACACTTGACTTTTATCGCACGTCACCACGACATCGTGCCTGACCACTTCAAAGTTACTGAGCACCATGCGTTGTGTCATTCCACTATCATCCTGGATATGACTTCCAGCAGTCTCCTTCCGGGATGCATGAGGTTGGACTTCATCGCCCGGCACTTGCTCAGGTAGGGGGTAAACGTCTTCTGCTTCCACTTTGCAAGGCGCCTTAGTTTCACATTGCGCACGACATGACCTGTCGTCTCTCAATGCAATGGCAACTGCAGCAAATGACATGTCTTCGATTCCACCATCATCCGGTTGACTTTCAGAGCAATCCCGGTTACAGTTTTCCACATTTTCAGGGATATGGTTCAGTAGCCCGACATCTTCAACCTCATCAGAAGTGATTGAAGTCTCCAGCATGAATGTATCCGGTATACTTCCTTCAATGTCCTTCGGGCTAAATTCATTTTGGTCTTGAATTTCGACTTCAGTTTGAGTTTCCTCATAGCTTGCAGCTTCAGTGACTGCGATATTAGACGACATGTCTTCGGTTTCCTCGTCACAATGTTCATGTTCAAGGCAACCTGGGTAGCGATCTTCCGCATTTTCACAACGGATTTGGTTCGATTTTTCACAGTTCGTCAACTCATCGGTAATGGTTGAATTCTCGAGCGGTGATACTTCTGGTACAACTGTTTCGATGTTCTGCTGATATTCAGGATATTCGTCCAAAACAAGTTCCACATTTCCACAGCAGAAACACCCGGCTTCTTCCAACTGTCTGGCTTCCACTGTTCTGTCCTCCATGTTCAAAATTTCTGGACCGTACGCCTTCTCCACACGATCCTTGTTCCTCCATGAATCCCCGACATGGGCCGTATTGACCACAGGCACGCCAAACATAGCCAGTTCCCGAGCCATATCCGCGAGCTGGACCAAATTCAATGAACGGCCGACACGGGCGACGCGTACCATCCCACGCATGGGCTCCGGCAGACTATCCACAAATCGGTCTGCCAACAGGTCTGCCCGTGACGCCTCATCCAGCGCCGGCAACGCACGTTCCATGAGTGAGCGGAGCGCGACGGCGTGCACCAGCGGGTCCGTACCAACCCCCAGCTGGGCAGCCTTGAACCGGCGCATAGCGTCTTGACGGTCGGCCGGGTTGTCTAGTCCTGCAATCAGGGCATCCTTTGCGGCGGCCCACTTCAGCTCCTTCCGGCCCCTTCGCGCTGCATCCAGCACTGCCCGCGGCCTGCCCTTGAGAAGCGCTCGAAGGGCCGTCAACTTACCCCGGTCCGACTGGATCCCCGAGAGTTCCGCCAGATCCTCGAAATCCTCCAGGAAGATTCGTATGTCGTCATCCTCAAACGGCTCCGGCCATGGCAGATCCGTCCTGGTCACGGCACCAAATGTTATAATCCAGAAGGCGTGCCTGGGTTAATAGGTTGTTTATTAGCATCAACGTGTTCGGACATTGACAAAACAACACAAACGTTACAAACATCTTCATTTGCCAAGTGGCTGTCCTGTTCACTTGAAAACAGTCAACGTCCAACGGAGGAGCGGTCAGGTGGTTTGCAGATCGTCGCTTACCTTATTGCGCCTGGATTGCTGAACTTAGCAGTGTTCGTTAATCCACAATTGTCCCTAGTTCTGTCTTCAGCAATCAACTACTTAATAAGTAGTATATACACTCACAACACTCCTCCCCCCTGACAAAAAAAGGACGATCCAAATCCTGCAGACTGTCTTCAAGTCTTTCTCTATTCCGAGGTTCATACCTCCAACCCCGGTTCGTGGTGGTGTTGTCATCCGTCCCACAGTTCCTCCGGTGGTATGCTTTTTCCGGTCCGTGATACACACCGACACCAGCCTTGTTTCTAGATGGCAATAGTGAAGAGTGAATACTGAACACAACACTTGACTTTTATCGCACGTCACCACGACATCGTGCCTGACCACTTCAAAGTTACTGAGCACCATGCGTTGTGTCATTCCACTATCATCCTGGATATGACTTCCAGCAGTCTCCTTCCGGGATGCATGAGGTTGGACTTCATCGCCCGGCACTTGCTCAGGTAGGGGGTAAACGTCTTCTGCTTCCACTTTGCAAGGCGCCTTAGTTTCACATTGCGCACGACATGACCTGTCGTCTCTCAATGCAATGGCAACTGCAGCAAATGACATGTCTTCGATTCCACCATCATCCGGTTGACTTTCAGAGCAATCCCGGTTACAGTTTTCCACATTTTCAGGGATATGGTTCAGTAGCCCGACATCTTCAACCTCATCAGAAGTGATTGAAGTCTCCAGCATGAATGTATCCGGTATACTTCCTTCAATGTCCTTCGGGCTAAATTCATTTTGGTCTTGAATTTCGACTTCAGTTTGAGTTTCCTCATAGCTTGCAGCTTCAGTGACTGCGATATTAGACGACATGTCTTCGGTTTCCTCGTCACAATGTTCATGTTCAAGGCAACCTGGGTAGCGATCTTCCGCATTTTCACAACGGATTTGGTTCGATTTTTCACAGTTCGTCAACTCATCGGTAATGGTTGAATTCTCGAGCGGTGATACTTCTGGTACAACTGTTTCGATGTTCTGCTGATATTCAGGATATTCGTCCAAAACAAGTTCCACATTTCCACAGCAGAAACACCCGGCTTCTTCCAACTGTCTGGCTTCCACTGTTCTGTCCTCCATGTTCAAAATTTCTGGACCGTACGCCTTCTCCACACGATCCTTGTTCCTCCATGAATCCCCGACATGGGCCGTATTGACCACAGGCACGCCAAACATAGCCAGTTCCCGAGCCATATCCGCGAGCTGGACCAAATTCAATGAACGGCCGACACGGGCGACGCGTACCATCCCACGCATGGGCTCCGGCAGACTATCCACAAATCGGTCTGCCAACAGGTCTGCCCGTGACGCCTCATCCAGCGCCGGCAACGCACGTTCCATGAGTGAGCGGAGCGCGACGGCGTGCACCAGCGGGTCCGTACCAACCCCCAGCTGGGCAGCCTTGAACCGGCGCATAGCGTCTTGACGGTCGGCCGGGTTGTCTAGTCCTGCAATCAGGGCATCCTTTGCGGCGGCCCACTTCAGCTCCTTCCGGCCCCTTCGCGCTGCATCCAGCACTGCCCGCGGCCTGCCCTTGAGAAGCGCTCGAAGGGCCGTCAACTTACCCCGGTCCGACTGGATCCCCGAGAGTTCCGCCAGATCCTCGAAATCCTCCAGGAAGATTCGTATGTCGTCATCCTCAAACGGCTCCGGCCATGGCAGATCCGTCCTGGTCACGGCACCAAATGTTATAATCCAGAAGGCGTGCCTGGGTTAATAGGTTGTTTATTAGCATCAACGTGTTCGGACATTGACAAAACAACACAAACGTTACAAACATCTTCATTTGCCAAGTGGCTGTCCTGTTCACTTGAAAACAGTCAACGTCCAACGGAGGAGCGGTCAGGTGGTTTGCAGATCGTCGTTTACCTTATCCACAATTGTCCCTAGTTCTGTCTTCAGCAATCAACTACTTAATAAGTAGTATATACACTCACAACACTAGTACTACTAATAATACTGATATTAGTGCTACTACTAATAATAATGAAACCATCATTGATACTGCTATCACTACAGCTATTACTACTACTAATACAATTAATTTTTTCACTCTTAATACCACTACTACCACTACCACTGCTTGGATCACTGCCAATTGGAGATTAATTGCTACCGGTTATCCGAAACAGACGGCGATGACAGTATATCCACTCATTTATTACCAGGTCAAATTAAACTATCATCACGAGAATAATAAAACCTTATCAACAATGCCATGTGATTAGGAACAGCTGGTACTTGACTCGATATCCGAACACTTTCCACATTTTACTTTATTGTATTCAGAACTTATACAAACAGACGAATTGGAATACTTGAAACTGTTCCGGCCGAATTGGAACGCTTCCGAGGACCAGTAGCATCTCTTAGGCATTGCTCATTCAGTAGGTGATGTGCCGTCAACATCCTAAAGCAGTTGGAGAGATTGAGGGTCAATGGGAAACCATATAGTCGGTATATTTTATGAGAAACCATCTCGTTCCCATCCTATGCCAATCACGCAGCTCATAGAGGGTGATACACTTTCAGTATTCATTCCATCTTGTTGCGGTCAAAATACTACTGACGAAGAGTTAGTTCCTCAATAACTAAAACGTAGACATTACTCATTCTAACGAATGAGACTCTTAGTAATTGTTCGTTTTGTACCTTTTATGATGTGCCTGATCTTCAGAAGACGAGACATCCCCAAGTGAGCTACTTCATATGTATTTTGATAACCAGTGCCGCTTATTGAGTTGGAAACCAAATATTACTCATTCGTGACTGAAGAAGATGTTGAGAGACGAAATTTCATCGGCCGCTAACAAGTTATTTGATAGGACTGTTTTATTAAGTTTCAGTCGATGTTCATAGAAAATAAATCAATGAATAAATGTCATTGCAATAATCATTCGATTTGCCCGTTTATTATGCAACAAAGGACACGAAAATGTTAACTTCGACAGAACAGGAGCACATATTTCCATCGAGGAACTGAACAGTGGTTTTGAAATTCTAAACGGATACGTGAAGTCTTTGTTCATTTGATCGCCGGTTGATGAACGATGGTCGCCACCTAATGGTGAAATGAATGCCTCAGTTAGAGAAAAGTACAAATGGATGACCATGTGTGTGATTTGGTGGTTTCATTTGCAGTCAGACTAGGCGTAATTATTCGATCTGTGTACAAAAGTGATTCATCTGGAAATGCTCGTTCAACATGAGTGGAATAGGAGAGAGACACGGATGATCACCTGTCACGATATTCCTCACGGACTCATTGTGAAATGACTATATTTGAGGGAGATCTTCAAGCTTGATTTTCGTATTTCATATGATCAACTGAGCACAATAAGACGGACACCTTTGTAATTTACAGTACATGATTTCATTTTTATGGCAGAATCAGACATTTGACAATTCAACAAACGTTTGTCGGCCACATTTGTATCATTTATTACTACATGCTTGAAAAAATGGTTATTTGGTATGGAGGTTTTGATTAAATAACTATTCTAACCAAAAACATGATGCTCATCTTTACAAGGGCCAGGTTGGAGAAGTCGACTGAGAGGTAAATACAAAATGCTAATGTTTATATCCCCATCAGAGTTTGACACTGCATGCAGTTGTGCAGTGAACCGACTTAGTGCCAATGATTTATTGTCTGCTGCGAACCGATTGAGAAAGTCCCATACATATCGCAGTATACTAATCAAGCAGAATCCTTCAGTTATTCGAAATGTCATCACTCAATGGCAAGCTTATATTGTGTTGGACTCCATATTCCGACTATGTGTTATCATGTAAAACACACAGAAATAATTATAATTTAGCGGCCGCAACGATGATAAGCACACTTGAGGAGGTATTTTACTGAGATTATCCCATCAATATTTACGACTTGCGAAAACGATAGAGTACTAGATTTCCACAATCTTTGAAATTAGGTTCGACTGAAATTAACCAATTCCATAAATACACTGAACCACATTATCAGCGCATTATTTGATTGTACTTGCAGATGATCTTGTGGAAAATTAACTGATCCATTCCAGTTTGAGCCATTCCATTCGTTCCATTATGTGAATTCAAACACGCCTGACAAGTGACTTTTGCAATTGATCTATTAAATGACTAAGGTGGAATCGGTAAGTGCAATATTCTCTTTTCAATCCGTCTGAAGTAAAATCAGTTGTGTGACAATGTGGTTGGTTTAATGATTCCATTTTACCATGATGATTAAATATTTGTTTTCTCTTCTCTCCGACAGCTTCACCAGTTCGAAGTGAGCAATGAACATTCTCTCTCAGAACGTGTTTGATGAATAGTTCAATTCTACATTATGTCGAATTCGGAAATGGATATTTCCACAAATTTTAATTTGCAATGCAACAAAATGGATTGTATAGGCAGAAAGTCAAAAGATATATCCATCTGGTCGTTTGAACAAATCAAATGTTATTTTGAGTTCAATGGGAAGCGAGAGAGCAATGAACATTTAACTGATCTAATATTGAATGAATAATAACAGATTGGTTTTATTCTGTATATGTGCTTTGCTTGTGCACTTAATCAAATTATGTCACGAAATGGGAAATATATATCTATTCTATTTAAATGAATCAATCAATTCTACTAATCAGTTGAATGAATCCGTTATTTTTTCAAGTTGGCATTTCTTAATCGACACATTCTGACTAGAAATTTACTGTCCGACATTTTCTGCTATGATTTGGTTCAATTCAATCCAGAAATGGGCGGCATGTTCCGAAGTACGTCATTTGTTCGTTCCTACGCCACTGACTGTTGTGTTGTGGAACCCATTTTGTGTCAAATGCGTATGTGTCATTCTGAGTACACGGTTGGCGGCAATGATCACACGGGAAAGTCCTCGAAGGAATTTGACTTAAGCCCAAGAACATTTGGGATTATAATTGCGTTTTTCTTATTTCACTTTGATAAACATTGCAGTTGTAAACCAGATAGAGAGACTAAGTGTTGAATTGGGCAGATGTTGGTGGATTTTTGTTGTCACAATTATCTTGTATATTGCGTTTTTGAAGAAATAATGAACACAGCGTGTTAGCGATCCTCAGTTTTCCAGTACGGGATAAAAGATGATTGTCAGGTAGAGGTACGATATCTAGGGACAGGAATCTGATTAGGACCAGAGTTCATGAAAGTTTGACAAAAGCGAGTGGAATTTAGGTTTCCGGGAAATGCTAAGTTTGATGAACAGAAGATTACAATATTATGGCGTGATTCGACGTCCCAATGAGGGATCTACATGTAGTCCGAACCGAATCGGGGTTGATTTTGAAGCACAAATCAAGGACCAGTATTTTGGGTGAGATGTCAAATGAGTGCCTTGACTATGCTCGGTAATGAACACATCAAGCCTCTCAAAATATTGAACGGCAGTTTGACTCGATAATAAAATAGGTCTCTATATAAGGATATTCCCGAGTTAGTAATTCTGAGGGAAAATGCAATTTTGTTCACACTTGTTGACATATGAAGATGGTGCATTAGGACAAGGGCGACTGACTGGTGGACAAAGACACAGACATCAGTTCGGGGTAAAACGAAGGAATAGACATTTTATTTGGGAAACTCGAAATGGGTGGTACCTGAGGTAGAAGAATTGGGTCAGGAGTAGAAGAAGACCGGAAACATTGGTGTACAGAATACAATTGCAATTTAGTCAATGAATGATACTGAGAATATTCAGTGCCTACATCTTCACCGAATGGGAAGAGAGAGAATGAAGACAAAGACTCTTGCGATTGTGAAGTGTCAGGATTATCAATTTTGAGGCCATATCGGGTAACCATGACCATCAGACTGTTAAAGATAATCCTCACAAGGCCTTAAGGGATCAAGCCTGGTAATGAGACGGGAGATAGCAGAGCTCTGTAACATTCAAGTTGACAGTGGTTTGCCCAAACACTATGGCTCTGCAAACCAACGGCATTCGAACAGACTTGATTTTTGCTTACAAGAATCAAATGGCGAAAATGAACAACATTCTTGAGATCAAATAAGGTTCAAAATTGCTTCGCTCTTGCTTATCTACATTTCGCTGTCCATGGAAGGTTGAAAATGGCATAGCTAGTCTGCTCGACCATAACCCAATTCATTGTGATTTTTCTGAAAAACATTGACGCATTTTGCGATTCAGGTCACTACAGCGGGTGAAGATTCTGTGGTTATCTGACCTACTTATCATTGAGGAGTGCAATATTATGGCATGATCCGATTTGCTGAGAGGAGATCAACATGTAGTCCGAACCAAATCAGGATTGTTTGTGAAGCACAAATCAAGGTGGGCATCAATCCCAGTGGAGACGTTTACAACGTTCTTCAGATCCAATGGTATCAAGAATTCTAGCTGAGAATGGTTGAAATAACTTCAGACAAAGCACAGACAACAACCACGCATATTATCGACTTATTCACCGCTCATCTTGCATGGCGTTTGAAGTATACCGATAATAATGTGATGCTCTGTCAGTTCACATCCAGTCAACTTGAATATACTTTCTTCTCTGAGGACTTATGTGACATTCAGAACTTTCCGCCCCTTTCTGACCTACATTTCAACACTTCCAAATGCCTAGAGTGCATATTCACCCTTTGTCGATCTCATTTCAGTGAACAGTCGTTAGCTATATCTGCCCCCCTTTACAGAGCTAACTCTGTCAAGTACTTGGGTGTTACTACGGGCACCAATTTACAGTGGTCTTCTCATATTATGGACAGTGTAAATAAATTGCGTCGACTCTCTTTTCAGATCCGTAGACAGAGGCAGTTTGGTGCTAAAGAAGTTGTCCTCATCTTCGTCCAACATTGTGTTCTGTCTATCTTACGTAAGTGCCCTCCTGTAATCTTTCCTGGTCTACACAAAAAACGAACTGTCTACCTTTCACATTCTTCCACAAGTTTCGAGTTTATACTCATTCGGATCCGCATAATTAATTATCGCAACTCTACAGTGCCTTATTCAGTACGTGCTCTTGTTAGCAAAGTGAACATCGCTGAGAAATCTCACAGCAAACCCGGTGGTTGAACGTGAGTTTGGTTTGTCCATTCTTTGACAATTTTCCAAATTGACAGTTATTTTTTTCGCTTCTTTTCAAGGCTGAAATGTGATCTGTTACCTCGCAGATTTCCTCAGTACAAGAGAATATTATAGTACAAAAGCGTTGTACACTTCACCTATATGTGCGGTAAGAAATCAGATAAAAAGGGAGGACCTGCAAATGTCAAGTTCCACACGATTTGCTCGTGATCAAGACGAATTTCAATCATGAGACACACCTTCTGAATTTAACCCACTCACTGCGTTATTTGAGTCAGTCTATCTAACGGCTGCTCATATCAACCAGAACAAAACTGATTACAGCAGCCTGTCTGACTCGTCCGATCGATCGCACACACCAAAGACTGTAGTTGTGTGGTCACTATCTGATAGTCCAGCATCTAATGACCGGATATGAAGTGGGTCACAAAGCTAACCTATCAAAATTCACTCACCTTGGGGCATTACACTGAATATGTCTTTTTCATCTTTCAGCCATTTGATTTGAGCCGGTGGATTGGAACTCATGACACAAGTGAACGTGATATTCCCGCCAATCTCGATTGTTTTGATGGTGAGATTTTGTGCCATTTGTCGATCACTGGTTGGTTCTGTGCAAAATTAAAGTGAATCGACCAAACCGGACAAGAACCATTTGAAAAGAAATCAGTTGTCAATGAGTGGGTGAAATTGATACACAAAACAATATCATAACTTTCATCCTTTGATTTACCTAATGATAATCGGATAAAATCGTCTAAACGATATTTCACCTCGTTCATTCTCTGCCCAATTGTTTTCAAGACCTCATCACATGACGAATGACTAATGCTTACTGACTAGATAAGGACAGATCATGTTATGACGAAAGCATGCATAAACTGAGTTATCGGTGTATGGCTGATTATGGAACTTCCGCTTTTGACACCTGGGTTGTCAACATTTACAGTATTCCTGTTTCAAAAAGCTTTGAGTAATTCCGGACTATAAATCAAACACAAGGCTGATCTTCCATGGTTCGTTAAAACAAGTCCCTAGCACAGCGAGTCACCAAGCCCACGAAAAAGGATCACCTGGCTGTCTGGTTGGCGCTAAACCAGATATGCAAGAAAGACTCGGAAACCGAACGTTACTTTCGAATCCTCGCTTACCGAACACAGTTAGTATTGTTGTTGCTTTGGCCGAGCCCGCTTCGTTTTCCGCCAGACAAGTGTATTCACCACCTTGATACGGACTGGCCGAGAGTAGCATCAAATTCTTCGGTCCAACTAGTCTGCAAGTGAGCATCGCACACACAAAGGAACACATTTGTTTTGATTCTCTGGTAATTTTCAAATGTTATGAAAACTATTTAGGCGTCCTGTGCCAGCGTATTGCATTATGTCCCTCAGTTAAATAGCCGCGCGTCGCTGTTCAAAACCCACACAAGGTTCTCAAACTACAGCAAGGACTATAGCTGAAGCAACGCAGGATGGGCGATTTTGAAATAGGATAAGTGATGAATAAATAGTTTCTTTAAATATCTTCGTTATCTAGCTAGGCATGAACCGCTTGTTATGTACTCCCGGAGAGCGTAATAGTCAGTTGTAGAACTGGAAAATCAGGCACACATGGTACTAGCTCCAGTACTACTCGGTCTTCTCCACTCATGTGTACATACCAGATTTTCTGTTTTGTTTTGTAACCAAATAAGAATAAACCAGAACCGAATGAAAACTATTTCTATGCACTGTCCAGTGAGAATTTCGTTTTAATGAGTTCGGAATCCAGTGATTGTACTGTGCCTTTGCATTCCGAGCATGGCTGCATGATGCACAACCAAACTGTAACACGTGGTCTCAGTTTTGTCATGTGATGCAGGCAAACAACCCGGCAGCTCCCTTAGCAGAGGCCGTGCAATCACGTGCCGATTGGTAAGCCTCTTGCTTTCTCATTCGACGAATGAAAACGAACGGATGAAGTCAGCAACTCCTTGGGTAGGAACCAAACAGGAGCTGAAATACTGCCAAACTAACAAGTGTGGTTGCATTTTATCGTCCTTACTTAAACAAACACAAAGACATAGCTACAACCTGAGACTGGATCATTGTTACTCACACAAAAATTCCTCATTCGCTGTCTCCATCACTGGGGCTACATGATAAACGCCACGAGAATTGATGAGACTAGCACTACTCTCTTTCCAGTACTGTAATATGGACAGTCTCAGTTTGAGAGGCCAGACTCCAAAGAGCTCCGTGAGCGAAAAAAGAAATAAGCTGCCACTTTGTCATAGTGATGGTCTGATTGATTATTGTTGACAACCACACGACGTCTGGCCAATGACCTCAAGAATTCGTCTTAGACTTTCTTCACTTCGACTAAAAACTAACAGTTTGTTAATTGGAGCCCGTAAAGTGGGGTCATTTCGAAATGGTTGGGCGTTAAATCTGACAGTATTACGCAGAGTTAACCATTACTTAATCGGCATAAGCCTTCCCGGGAATTCCGTTACGTGAGTGACTATGCTCCATAATCCGGGAGAAAGAAAGTGACCATATATTGAAAACATTTTATCAACCCAAAATACTGACTCTAGCCGACGTATTAGCTTCATTTGTTTGTAGAGTTCCAACGTGCATATCATCACATGAAAGCTGAAGACCACCGAAGACTAAACCATGTCAGCCCCAAGTGGAGCCTCTGCAGTTTCAAGGGAATCGCACGTAACTTTAAATGTAGTGGGCAGATATAACGGCCCCGAAAAATACAGCTACATGATTTGATTGAAAACTGTTATTCATTGTCTGCCCACAAATTCTCAGCCTTGTTGTGACCCATACCGAAAAACTGACTTCGATCACAGATAACTATAACGGCATACGCTTGAGTCTGCAGGGAAGGGGCGGTGTTGTCTGTTCGCTTTGAAGGCTGCAATTCTTGTGAAACATAGATCAAGCAAAATCGGCCGATCGAGGGGGCCCCAAAGTCCACTATAATGACCTGGTAACCATCACCGGATACATCCCATTACAAAAGTAAAACGGTAGTATAGCGTCTAAAGTGATGGTACTCATTGGTCAACATGAATACACCGATTTCAATCACATGATGTCGAATTGGGCCTGAAGCTAAAATGTTTGTCTCGACCACTAACGAGGTAGCTGTCGGGAAATGATCCACAGTCACGATAATGTTGGTTGCACGTGAAGAAATACATTACTGTAAAGCAGCTATTCGTCGGAATGAAATCAGTCGTGCAACATGAACTGCTGCATCACGCCGTAATACTACATGCTTGTCTTGGACTTTCTAAGATATCCGTGCCCACTTTTTTCAGACCAGGTAAAAAAATGTCTTGTTCCTAATGACTGAGGTTTGTAATATACGCCGAGACGGGATCAAACAGTAATACAACAGTGTTTGGAAAAGATAAGAAAAATGGTAGCTTCCTTGGAATTATCTGAAATCCATCTTTTTAAAAAATATGAAACTAATGATATAATAATGAGTAGTCAGTCAAGACTGTTCAGCTTACCGATAACCATAGGTCTTGTTAAGATTCAACGGTTGACCTTGGAAGAACCATGTTATTTTTGGTGGAGGACTTCCGATCGCTTCGCACGTCAGTGTGATCGTGTTGTTCACAAATACCACGGCTTTTTCATTGAAATCTTCAATTACAGGTTTCTCTGGAGATTTGAAAACATACGCAAGCCATAACGGGTCACTATAGTGACATATCAAAGTTCATATTATGGACAAAACATTACGGGACGTTACCAATAGTTAAGTGTTTCATTCAGTAAAAAGGTAACCGGGATTACTAGACTGACTGTCGTCTATAGTTATCCGACTGTGCGCCGACCGAAACTCACCTAACGCAATCACCTCGTATACAATCTCCGTGGATCCACCTTTGTTTGTTCCGACGCAAGTGAAACTGAAATAAAAACAAAGATGTCACGTCAGTATAATCACTACCGTCGACAACTACAACAACGATAACAATAACATCAACTCAATGATTCGGCGCAAAGAAACAGACAAACAAAGATGTGACAATGTGATCCCAGTCTGTCGTGGTCATCTACAAAATTTCAACCAATGATCATGCCACAGATTTTGGCGGCATATTGTACGTTGCCAACGTGAATCCCATTTCGGAGATTCAGCCTGATAATGCACCAGTAAATGTGTGAAACTCCATCATGGGGTTTAACAGTGCCCTAAGGACTACTCTCAAGATGTGCACTGCTAACGATAATAGACGAAAACGGAACGAAAGTAAAAAAAGTACCATCATTGAAAGGTACAGGCTTTTTTGATTGCTAACGCAAAAAGTATCACTTAGTGTGTGTTACCGTGCACGGGATAAACAGTGGTAAGGGGGAATTTCAATCGGAAGGCTACAGAACGCGTACTAGGAAGGGCTGTTCAGAAAAAGACAACATTGATCGGACCCCGTGTGCAGTTCCTTAGTTTTGATCCTGTCGCTTACAAACACGATTGGGTCAGAACCATTTTACACAGGGTCGAGAACATTTGTACTTCTTAACTGGAAAACGAGAAGAATTCAGTCAAGAAATCCCCGTCAGTCAGTGGTCATTTGAAAAACATCACTGAGCATCACAGCAAATTATGATGGAGCTAGATTCCTTTTTGGCGGCAGAACGAAAGCAAATCACTATATTTGTCCGCTTTAGGCCAAGCCCCATTTTTATTCCCGCTACTCGCAATTTAAGCGCCGCTTTCCTGATCACACAAAAATAACCCAGCCCCTAGGTTAGAATAATTCGTGATATACCAGATTTAGGTGTTCATTTCATGGTATGTTTCTGTTTGTTCCAAACATATTTGATTTGTTGGTCTCTCAACCCTAGTCGTACTCTGCGTTTAGTGATTCTGATTCTGAATCTTTTGAGCTTTTGATTGCAGAGTTACTCCTTTCCATTGAAAAAATGGAAGTCGAAATAATCCTGTAAAAAACAATCCCTCCTGGAGCTTCAGTGAAGCCAACGCTTACCAACGGTGGTTTTAGGATTTACAATACTTAGTTAACTCCAAAAAGAACACAAATCAAAAAAATTGGTACCAACATTAAGGTGTTGGTTTGAATGCAACTGTCCACTGGACGATTTTTGTGTAAGGAATGATTAAGTTGTCAGCCATTTGCAGGGAGCTTCGGAATAAAAGTGCAGTTCCAAAGACAGCTTCGCACGAATTTTCGTAAAAAGTTTAGTGCGGTACATCCTCGTGATCTCTAGCTCGGCTGAACATGAGTGATAAGCAGTGTGAAAATAAACCTCCTTATCTTCCCCCCCTCCCGACTTACTTTCCTTGCAGTTCAGAGTTCATGTCTCTGATAATCAGATTGCTTTGTTCCGGGCTTTGTTGTACAATTTGGATGCCCAAGTTTGATACGGTACCGTCTTGCTTCCCGGTACCAGTGGCTGTGTTCGTGACCAGAGGTTTGCCGTTCCATTGCCACGTTAGGCGTGGTTCTGGATAGCCAGTCATGCCGCATTCGATTTCCACAGTACTTCCTGGGCCAACCAAGCGTCGGGTAATTTTATCTCTTGAGGTTACCGTTGGTGGAACTGAATACGGTGTGAGAGACGGGAAGGACGAGAAAAGATGACTAGTTCATGTCATGAGTGGTCAAAAAATCTGCTGAACTGATTTAGATTAGCCAAGTGAACGTCCGTAGGATGTCCATAAGACTGCATCGATGGTGGCTCCGTCAAACAAAAAGTCAGAATGTTGACCTACTTGTTACTTGTAAAATATTCAATGACCGAAATTTTCCCAGTAGTCATCAGTCATCGATCATAGGCTACTAGTGTAACGGAGAATGCTGGGGCAAGGGAACGATGTGAATATCAAGGCGAACGAACGAACCAAACAAGGGCCACATACAAAAGAACAGACGGCGAATATGTCGGAGGCTTCCCTGAAGCTGACAAAAGGAGGCATATGGACTACCAGAGGGAAGGCAGCGGGATCTCCGGCAGCCAGCAAGATAGCCCAGGTGAGGGACTGCCGATCAAGCTGTCGACTGAGACAATCGGACCAACCGAAGAGAAATGATGCCCAGGAGAAGCAAGCTATCGGCCACGGGCAACTGGCCAGAACGCAGCCGAAGCACTCAAGCAGCCGCAAGAACAATGTGGTGTCGCGCAGTCTAGAAAAGAACCTATATAAATGATTGTGTGTTTCATGACTTGACTTGTTTGGCCGTTGGAATACAAGTATCCTACCCCGTGTTGTCGTCCTTGTTACACTAGGATTTCTACCAATGCCAACTAATGGAACTGCTTCAGGTTGTTTCACTGCGGGGGATGAAATACATCCATGAATGACACTAGTGTTAAAAATTAGGTAGAAAGGGTTTACGCATGTTTTAAAGATGTAAACACTCCAGCTTCCGCGTTAATTTGCAATATCAGGAGCAACTGTGGACGCTGTATAGTGTTTTGAGGTGATCCAAATGTGGAAAGTCTTTGGCCCCGGCGGGATTCGAACCCACGCATGGCCGCTACCCTCGCTTTAGTACCGCGAGTGCTCTACCAGCTGAGCTACGAGACCACGCCTGAGGACCTTCGACCTTCTGCATATGGATCACAGTATACCCGCCCAAATTACAGTAGCACATGGCATCCACCACAGTGAACTAGCTTGTAATTTGACTGCCTACAGCAGGATTTCCCTTTGTACTAACCGGACTCCACCAGTTAAGTGCATTGGGCATGTTTACAATGTATTGATGTATTGATGGTTGGCAGATTTTCATAATGTTTTGAGGTGATCCAAATGTGAAAAGTCTTTGGCCAAAGACTTTTCACATTTGGATCACCTCAAAACATTATGAAAATCTGCCAACCATCAATACATCAATACGCTGTATAGTGTGTTCATCGGAAAAGGATCCACCCCGAAAGGGCCGAATTTCTACGTATGCTACTGAAAACGTTAGCAGCGGTTAGATTTTGACATCTGACAAAAAAATGCTCTGGATTCTCCACTTGAGACGATGATGACCGATATCGAGATTTGCTAATCAAAACTTCAAAAACGGTTCATTTTAGCGGTTGTGGTCGGAAAAAGCTACCGACGTACTCCTACCATACTGCACAGTTAGCCTAATAACTCCGAATACACTTCTTTCTGGTCAAATTCTAGGCTTCACCACGGAAACAGCCATCCACAGCAAGCATTCAGGTAACGGCCATGGACTCGAAGTTGCGTACTCTTGACCGGAGGATAAAGGAAATCAATTTTGCTAATTTTTGCTATCAAGAACATCTTCCAGCTAGGCAAACAAGTGTGCCAAGATGTCCATAGCTTCGTGGCAGTTTACGGTTTTTGTACATCTGTTTGCTACTATAAATTGATTATTGAACAGACCGTACGTTATTTTACTTTTCAATGACATGCACTACAGAATGATAATAAAAACACGTAGGACTAAACGGGAAATCCGAACATTGTAACCAAAAGTAGCAAGCATTCAAACGATTTTTCCAAAGGAATAGTGGGCGCGTATTATCAAAATCTTTCTTGATCTGAAACCACGACTTCCAGACTAAGAGTGTCAGCTAGACCGGCATTTAAACGCCCAGGGTCGAAGAATTCATAGCACTGGTGCTGCAGTATTCTACGGGAACGGCTTTTAGTCCAAATTTACCTGGTTTCGATAGTTATATTACTGTTATTTCTGTTTCCTCTCATCCTTAATAAGTGTATAATCTTACCGAGTATGGTGACTTGGTAGAATCGAGAATCAGTCCCGGCCTCGTTTTCTGCGCGACATTCGAAAGAGCCTGAGTCATCCTCCATCTTTCCACGCACTTCCTATTGGATTAGTTTGGAAGGAAAAAACACATTTTGAAATGATACAGTTAAAAAAAACATGCCTTTGATTAAATCAACGAAATGGTTGATACATAGGCAATCTTTTCGTGAAGTATCGCTTTAGGTAAAAAAGAGGAAAATGAGCACACAATCTAATCTGATTTTTTGATACAAATTAGACCTTCTATTGCCCCTAAGGACAGTATGTGCACTTTGCACCTTGATCTCAAGCCGATATATATATATATATATATATATATATATATATATATATATATATATATATATATATAATCATCCAGTGCGCTCCCACAGCCAAGACTTCTTTCTTGACCAAAGATCGATATCGATGAAACAGTTCGAATGAGGAGAAAGACGAATAATTCCGACTAAAGCAGAACTCAATTAATTGATCTCTCATGGGTTTCCTTGTTCAGGGGGAATGGGGACTGCTTTGTGAGCCTTTTCTTTGCGGATATTCGTAGACTTCGATAGCTAGCATAACCCTGTTTTCTCAAATTAAACTCGTTACATTTCTCAACGTGATAGATCCCAATTTTCGTCGGTTGACACCGGCTTATCAGGTAATTTGATTCTAACTACATCTGGGTAGTATTTTTAGCTTAAGCCGCCGCACCTTTCGTTTGATTCTAATTACTTCTTTACAGTACATTCATGTCTTCGAACTGATGCATTATCGTTGCACTAGTTGGAGATGCCCGCATTTTAATCCCGACAGAGTGACAAATCGACTAAATCACGTTCTTGATTATCTTTCCGTTATTAGGTACGTCAGTGAGTGATTAAGTGGGTTAATAAGTAAGTAAGTAAGTAAATAAGTAAGTAAGTAAGTAAGTAAGTAAGTAAGTTAGTTAGTAAGTAAGTGAGTGAGTGAGTGAGTGAGTAAGTAAGTAAGTAAGTAAGTAAGTAAGTAAGTAAGTGAGTGAGTGAGTGAGTAAGTGAGTGAGTGAGTAAGTAAGTAAGTAAGTAAGTAAGTAAGTAAGTAAGTAAGTGAGTAAGTAAGTAAGTAAGTAAGTAAGTAAGTAAGTAAGTAAGTAAGTAAGTGAGTGAGTGAGTGAGTAAGTGAGTGAGTGAGTGAGTAAGTAAGTAAGTAAGTAAGTAAGTAAGTAAGTAAGTAAGTAAGTAAGTAAGTGAGTAAGTAAGTAAGTAAGTGAGTGAGTGGGTGAGTGAGTAATTAATTATTTAACTAAGTAAGTGAGTAAGTAAGCAAGCAAGTGCGTGAGTGAGTGAGTGAGCGGGCAAAAATACTTGAGTAGGTAGGCAAATAAGTAGATAAGTAAGCAATTAGATGGGTGAGTGAGTGAGTGAACGAGTGAATGACCACGTAAGTTACTGGGTAAGTATATCTGTAGGTATCGAAGTAATTATGCTTTTGCTGTCGTTATTGTTCAGATCAGAATTACTTCGCATACTCTGCTGGGTATGGAATAACTGCTTCATACAGAAGGCAAACTCGAATCCTAATTTGGGGGCGGTCTGACAATAAAAAGAAACCTAGAAATGAAGACTGAATACTGACACTGCCACTGTACATTTACCTAGGGAATTACTGTTCATACGGACTGATATTTTAGTCAGCTCGTATCTTCTCCTACCACGAAAGTCACATTCATGATTCTGATGAAAAAGATGGGGAAATGATCTGAAAACTACCACAAATCCAACTGCAGGATGCCGTAGATGAGGATATATTTTGACTAACCATTAGTTTGTTTCCCAACACTCATGACTGAAATTCTGCAAAAAATGCTTCTGTGCGTCTAAAGGTTATCCCATGTAAACTAACCACAGTGTGTCCGTTGTCCAAAAAGCTTATTCTGCCGGGAATAGGAAGCAACGGTTGACCATTCTTGAACCAGCGAACCGTGGCTTGTGGTTGACTGGCAGTCACCAGACATGTGAGTAGGCCCACTTCCATTTGTCCAAGCTCAAACTCAGACGGGCCGTCCTTTGAAATGACCGGAGGAGCTGGGGATAAACGAGGAAAGATTGACGATCGGGAATGAATATTTACTCGGTGAAATCTGTGTTTTGATACGGTGGGGAAAACGGGATACGAAGGGAATTTGATCCACGAATCTAAAGCAGTCCTTCCATGGAAATGAAAACTCGTAATTTTCTCCATTTTGAAATAAACCAATATCACTTCATTAATCAGAAATGCCATTCTGTACGTCATGTGACTATTGCGTGTTATCTGCGGGTACCGAAATGGATTTATTCAAAGAATGAAAGAAAGCAAGGTTTTGTAAAATGGTGCGCTATGCAGTACCTAATAACTATACGCCTTTCAGCGATGGACGAGATTTTGGCAACAAATGACAGATCCCATCAGTGAGGCTTTGATAATCACACTTTATCACTTCACCACTTTAAACATTCAGAATTCAACTTACTTTTGACAGAGACTCGAAATTCCTTGGTTTCAATCGAGTGTACATTGATGGCGGAACAAGTAAAACTGCCAGCCACGGCGTCGTTGACCGAATAAATAGTCAATGTATACCCGTCCGGTGAGACAACCACAGCCGGACCGCTAGCTCCATTCCCGTTGCCGATTCCGCGTTCGGATGTTGTCGGGCCGTGGGGTAATATGCGTCGCCCATCTTTGCGCCACTCTACAGTCGGTTTTGGATCACCTTCTACCTGGCACTCAAGAGCTAGGTTATCGCCTTGTGTAACCTCAATTAGTGTGCCGGTTTCCGGATCCAAGAAAGCTGGCTTTGCTGTCAAAACAAAGTCATTATTTATATATCAAAAGTGAATATTTCAGAACGCGGATAAATAAAGCTCTGAAGATTTGCTTGGGGTCAGCCTGATTATGGGCTTCTTGTTCATTATCAATGAGTGAATGAATGAATGAATAATTGGACGAATGAATCAATGAATCATTCAACCTATGGGTCAATAAAACAATCATTCAACCAACCAAACAATCAATGAACTAATCAGCAAGTCAGTCAACAGATAAATCAACCAACAGATAAAGTAATCAAATGAATTACCAGACAATATATGATTAACGGAAATCAACCAGTCAACCGTCCAATCACCTAGTAAACCAACCAACGAATAAGGCATTTTGCCAAAATACCAGTGGGTAAATTAGAATTACAAACAATCAATCTTATTTTACACCAGGAATGATACTATCCTGAGACTGAAAGGTAGATGAATTAAGCTTGTCGCAGCAATGCTTGGATCAAAGGTAGAAGGCAGTTTAAATTAAAAACCTTTAATTTTTTCAAAAACTTGCAATAAAATGGTGTTCTTGCCTAGCGCGTTAAAAATTTTGATTACGGACAAGACTAATCAGCAACATACTTACACTGAACGTCGAGTTCTATATCGAATTTTGCCTTGCCCACAGCATTTCGGGCGATACAAGTGTAAATACCTTCGTCTTTTGCCTGCAAAGGTAAGGTGGAATGGTTCATATGGAAAGAAATGACAGAACGACTTTGTAAAAGGAAGCACAACAGTGAAGGTCAGGGATTTGCAAGCTCAGCTAATTCATGTAGTGGCTACGCAGCAAATGATTACCTAGTCGGATTGTGGTGCGACCACACATTCGATTATTTCCGACAAATGAATACCGTTACAAAATATACATTATGATAAGAAGTTTTATGAGAGATATCAGGATAGTATTTAAAATCACCATTTTGTCAGCATTCTTAATATAGCACTAATAATTATTATCGTTGTCAGTATTTTCACTTAAATCAATAATATCACCTTCATGGTTCTCACACTTGCCTTGATATCACGAATGATCAGATCGTACTTATCCAGTCCATATTTGGAAGAGAGGTCAAAATCGATTGGTTGATTGTCTTTCAACCACATCACTGTGGCTGCAGGTTTTGCGTCCAATACGTTGCAATTCAAACGTTTCTCTTGTAGACCTTGTAGAGCTACTTGTCTCGGTTGGGTGAAAGAAATCGATGGTGCTTCTGCAAAAAACCGCGAGGAGTTAGGAATGTATTCGTGTGTAGGAATGGACTATGCACTGGTGTGTCCAGTAAACTAGTAGAATATTGAATTTATATATAGTTTTACTCATCATAACAAGGATTAAACAGTTGCAAAGTGCTCCTATGTTTCTCAGTTTGAAGTTGAGTTGATCCTGCATGAAAAACAATATACCTTTACTTGGAGCTGTTTAAACATGAGTTCGGCTCTAAAATCACTACACATTTGTTGCCGTTGTTTAACTAAAGCTTTTCTATTGAAATACTTAAGAAATCGAAGTATAAATGAAACAGATGGTATAGAATACAGAATTAGGTATCTTCAGTGTACCGGTACAGAGTACTGGCTTTGTATCCGGTTTGAACAGTCATGCCAGCCACACGGACAATTGATCGATATCCCTTTCCATACATGGACATACTCCTGTTGATACTCAGTCATCCTTCAGTCACTGCACTATTTGTTGACTTATCGATCCCGTAACAGATCGAGGGACATTGCTTGACATGAGTCGAATGTACGCTAGCTCATGCAGATAACTGAATCCGGTGGCAATACTTACACACTTCCCTGCTTGCTTGCCGCTTGCCTACTGGCTACGTCCGGATTTTGTGTTTACGTGAAGACTAATAAATGGAGTGTCACCACCACATGTTCTACTATTAACTACAGAAACGCTGGCAACATACCCAAAGTTGAAATTTCCATCTTGACTACTAACAGGGATATAAGTAGCTCATTGCTAACTGTTACCGACATCGCCCGGAAAAAGGTTTTGGATTATTCACTTGTGCAATTCACATCCGACTGCCCAGGTAGCTCAGCTGGTAGAGGGTTTTCCCGGTATGCGGAGGGTCGCCGGTTCGATTCCGGCTCGCGGCGTTCGACTTCTTGATGTTAAAAAGGCAAGTGGGTTCTCCACCACACTTTCGGATTATCTCCTCCAAAAGAAGACCACCAGGGGTAACCTCAACTCAGGTTAGCTAGAAAATATACTAAGTATGCGATAAGTACGCCAAGAGGTAGCTGTTTGTCGAAAAGTTCTTGCAAGAGGAGCTTCGTTGAAAATAGAAGAGAACTACAGATAGAAGCATTAGAGAAATAACGAAGGGATAATCACAGAAAACGGTCAGATCCTTATGCGTCTGATATTGGAGTGAGTGATCTAACCCTAAAAACCCACATTTTTAACAGAGATCTTCATTCATTCCGTTCCTTGTCTTGGCACAATACCCATTACCATTCTTCTAACTACCTTGATTTCCAGTTAGGCTCAATGAGTGTAACCTTTCCCTCCTATATGTGTCGTGATAAACGATTCAATGTTCTTCAGATTCATTTAATCTCGAAATTTGTGCAAGAATACGAATTTTATCGAATACCACTCAATGTACTCGACGTACAGCGTTTACAGGAAGCTCACATTACAAAAAACGAAAGTTGAACCGCGATACGTACTACTCTGAAGCATTCTAGTGGGCATGGTACAAAGTTCTACTCAGTAGGACTGACAGCTTTATGTACACTTATTCCACGGTCTTATGTTCTACTGTGAATGTTACGCAGGTTGATTGCAAATGAATTTGAGGCACAGGTTGGTTGAATCAGAGAAATTGTCTAGTGTATCTGTAGTACCAAGTTCATTTGGAATAGCCTTTCAGATAATATTCTTGATTTACTTAAATGATCAACAGAAATGCGTGGCGCTGAATCAGCAGAATCATCTGTCACACACAAAGAAGCCAAACATGTTTGAAATGTCCTACGGATTGACGAACACCATCGTTTCGAATAATACTTCGTCATACCAGTGCAACATAAAAACCTCTTCGTCATGTCATTCAGGACTGTCTCAGTCCGGACGTACGATCAGTTTGAATATCTCATATCTCCTCTGAGTCAACCATGCATGTTCACCTCGTACACATAATGATACGTGGTCACCTGATCTTAGAAACGCTCGAACATACGCATACGGACCGAGACCTGAGTGAACGTGTGAGAATAAATCTCAAACAGAGTGGTGATAAACGATGCAATAATCAATGGCATACTGCTGAGCAAAATCTACGTAAGTTGTTATTCAGCTAGGGCCTTCTACCAGAGGCGTTGCTAAACTAACCAACATGGCCACTTTATTCACAATGAAAGAGTTCACTTTGGCTGATATGCCAAAAAAGATTCACTCGACTTATGGAAGGTAACTTGTTCGATCACTTTGTGGCCCTTTTGAAGGTATAAATCGCGAATTTTTGAGTCATTTGGTTTTCTCAAGCGAACAACGCAACGTAATTTTTCGCGAGACAATCAGAAAAAGTTCAAATCTAGCTGTTGCTACCCTTGTCAGTAGTAATATCAAACATTCAATGCCCCAGGGGTGTACCGAATCCCGAAGAACACGCGACACATGTTTGAACGGGAAATGTTAAGAATAACGCATCTATATTCATATCACCGTGTTCGTCCTACTAAAAGCCAGTGCATGAGTTTGAAACCTGAAATAATGAACACAGTTAGTGTTCACTATTGAAAGAAAACATATCGTTTAGTAGAGTTAGTACCCAGAAGATTAGCATGCGTGATCAATCCAGCACCATTCTACGTTGATAAGCTATGCTTTTCGTTCAGATCCAGTTTAGAAGAATGTTTATCGATGAAAAACGAAGTTCCCGAATTTGCACTCTACTCTCGTGTCTATCATTGCCCTGTGCTTCATATGAGTGAGGTCATTTTTCACCCAACGTTTCTTTCACTTCTGTCCGTAGAAAAATGTTTGTCGTCTGCTTGTCTGAACAGACTCAAGAATATCACGCTGAGTCTAAACACGCGGCCTGCTTGGGCGATAAGGTGTTGCTTCTTAGCTACAGCGGAACCGGTCGGGATGCACCTCCACGTCTACTCTTTGTGGGGTTAAAAACAATTTCATTTTGAACCCAATCTTCTCCGCCTAGCTAGTCACCACAAGTTATTTAATAGACCAGTCGGAACCTAAAACATAGAACATAGGATAAATCATCTACGTCCGGTCTCCATAAAAACTTATTCCAACACAGTTGGGAACTATGGTTCCGAATAAATTCTTCCTCTTTATTACTGACACTAACATTATTACTATTGTTACTGTTACAATCGTTATTCTTAGTTTTACTTCCCTCCTCAGTTTGTTATACTTATTCGTACAATATTTTCGGGAAGGTTTTATAACCCAATTAGAGACTGCCGAATGGGGAAGAGGACAGCCGTGATAAGATTCGAACCGGTGCCGTCCAGATTTGAGATTCGTCATGATAACCGTTTGCCAAACTTCAGGCTTACACACACACTGTTGTGTTTTCATTATAAGGAATCACTGAAATCAAGTATGCACTGAATATTGGGCTGCTACGATTAATCAGACTAGCTTGTTTTGATACCTATTCGGAAGTTGCCGGAGTCTCGAATGCGGAGAACGCAGACAACGCAAGCTGTTTTGCTTTAATTATTCAGGCTAGAATGTTCACCACCTATTCTATACCATGCTATTAGATGCTCGATGTATCAGCGTCGGTTGATGGCACGGTCAAATTTAATCAGTACAGAAGGTGACGCGTGGCTTCTTCAATGTTCGGATCGATAACAGATTTACCTTAGTCTAAAACTGATCGTCTCATTGATCTATACCCATTGACCACCACTGTCACATATAGGAGCCCACCCTGCATCTGACAGAGACGCTATATCCAATCATATTTCGCTACACATTGGACGGCCCTACTTGACTGTGCTGATTGCCCGTGCAGCTTACTCTTGCTCAGCTTGAGGCACTCGCTTACTTACTTGCAAATAAACGGATTTTCTACGTGCTGTTGTGTTAGTGATTAACGGAGAACTGTAAGCGACAAATCCGTTTATAATCGGATCAGTAAGCACGTAAGTAAGCGAGCAAACAAGCAAACGAGTGAATCCTTTATAGGCAAGCCCATCAACATGTACGACCGAGTACGGTCAAGCAGTGCCGCTCAGCATCAACTAATCAACAAGCATGTATGGCTCAGGGCCAAGGTCTGATTGGTTAGAGCAAGTCGTCCAAGATATGGGTAAAGTGGCAGCGATGTGCACACGTGCGTGCATGCGTGTGTGTGACCAGTCGTGCCAGCAAACAAGCATGAGTCAATAGTCAATCCGATTAGAGTCATCTAGTTATCGACCCAAACGCCAGTGAAGCCACACAACACCATGTACTAGCGTTACTGGCACATACAACAGTAGGATGCTAAAACACTCAATGCGAAATAATGTGAATATATCAAAGATCAGGTTGTTATGTGAACGGACCATGCTAAGAGTCATCTCTTTGGACCGTCGAAAAAAAGTCGTGGAAACTGCTATCAAACAACCTGTGTAACAACGAAGGCTTGACAACGACCTGGGAAACAAGTTGATCCATTTGAATGATCGCTACTCGTTGCTCTGTCACTTCACAACAATTATTTCTATTCCATTTGATCGATATTTTCTTCAACAAAACGACTATCGTTCGGATGGAAAGAATTTACCAGTTCCGAAATGTCAACACCAAGATCATGGCATATGCTTACCATTGTGCCATTAAAGTGGTTAGTGGCAAAACTTACTAGTTCCTCCGATTTCCACGATCACCGAGTGACTAACTTTGCCGTACATGTTGACCGCTTCACACACAAATGTTCCGCCATCTTCCATATTGACATCTGTAACAGAAATAGCAGTGAAATAGTATTTTTAGGCAAGCGGTTTTTGCACTTGTAGGCAAAGTGTTTACCACATGAAGCCCAATTTATTTATCATCATTCCGGTAGTGGGTGTGAAATTAGGAGATTAATAGTTTGGTCAAAATTCTTATCATTTTACTTGTCATTACTTGATCCTTAAGATAATCAGTAATTAAAGAGATATCACATAGTATAAAGTGAACTATACGGGACTAACTACAAGAAATGACTTGTTACGAACAAAATCGAGGCGTATTAAGCCATAAAAGGTTTATCAACAGTAGGAGAAATAACCCAAAACCAGTCAGTTGTATATCTCATGTAGAAAAGAACAAGCTGACACTCTCTGTAACCACACTGTAGGTTGGCTGATCAGGCTGCTTTCCACCAATACTGTTAGGTGGCTTGACAAATACGATAGCGATTGCGATAGGGAATTAGGCTCAGACTCCATTACTTTGCATTCTGATTTAGGCATTATTCACTATTGAACAGATTTTGACTACAATTTTGTCAATCATTCGTGTTAGTGGTTTTATAGTAGGTTATGTAAGAGTCTACACCAAGCCAAGTGAAACAAGTGTACCTGCGATCGTTATCCGAACGACCACCAGCATTTGTCAGTAAGCCCAACGACTGTAAACCAGCTGTTTACATCTATATCGTAATGCTTTTTGTGCTGAGAATATCTCATAAGCAATCGGTTGCGCCCGCAGTTTTTGACTACTGCTTGTGTTAAGCAAACACGCTTACCAACAGAACTTGAGGAAGCGGGTACCTCTATTACATTTAGTTGATTTATCCGGTCAGATTTAATATTTTTCCCGTGAAACAAAATTTTTCTTCGAAATCAAAATATTTTCCAGTTCAGTTAAGAAACCGAATTCGTGAAATTCCCTGCATTAGGGACTGAACAGTAGATTTCTGGAGGGCAGAAAGTACGCCTTACCTTGGATGTACAAAGAGTTATCTTTGTGTAACTGGTATCTATCCCCGAATTTGATCGGGACATTTCCGGAGGAGGTGACTCGGTACCATTTGACTGTTGGAGTCGGTTGACCAATCACCGGACATAGGAGGGTTGCATCCATGGAGAATTCTGCGGAGACCTTGGATCTGTCAGTTTCCGTACGGATTTTTGGAGGGACTGAAATAATGAAAGTAATGTGGCCATGAAAATGATGCCACATTTCTGAATGAATTATTTATCTGCCTGTTGTGCACACTGAGTTTCGGACAGTTTTGGATGAATTGTGACTTATTCGTATGCTACACTATACTATATTGGAGTATGCTTCAAGGTGTTTGAGTGGATCAATGGGAACACGGTATCAGTTTTCTAAAACAACTGTGAACGAAAAGGTATAAATGGAAGTGTGGGGAGAAAGCTAAGATGGCAACCCAGTGGGGAGACTGTCAGAGATAGCGTGTGGGTAAAAAACACTATGAAGTTAATCAGTATTTGGTAAGATGTGAGGCTATAACAATGGGTTTATAAATTGATCATTATATCTGCCTCAACGGGTGAGGGGTCCTTGGTTCAACCCTAAGGATACATCTTAAACATAGAGCGGGAACTTCCATGCTCGTCTGATCAATTTCTGAACCAGTATTCTCCTTTATACTCGTGTGGTTGTGATCAACCAATCAGCTTGTATCCATGTCTGAAGAAAAACGTTTACATCTCCAGTTCAAAGTTTGGATTACATTTTCGCAACGAGTTACAAATCTACCCCCGAGGTAGCCAGTTGAATATTATCCCTGTTGTATAAAAAGCTTATTTGGACTCGGGCATTTCAAATGATTAGGAAGAATTCGAAAGGAAGACAAAGGAATTGCTGTTTGGATAACAGATGAAATATTTTAACGAATGGGGTTCGAATTCCAGTGTACCGTTTTTCAGTTTTAGTCTGTCCAGTGCAATACACTGTATTCAGACACTTACGAAGAAAAAATAAAAAAAATTATCAACACGAAGCTCAATTCTACAATGCCATTTGGTAAGAACATGTGCGCTGAAAAACAGGGTGGCGCATGAATGAGCGAATAGCTGGTACTCCTACAAATATACATAAAGATATTCTAGGGTACATTGCATTGACAAAGTTGAATAGAAGCCCTCGGTTAAACCGCGCACTACAAGTAGAGGACAGCGACGTTTCCGTGACTATATTTCATAACTGCGGCAAATGTATCGGCAAAACGCGAGGAGAAATCATTAAAATAAGCGTACATTGTTCTTCACCTTTTTAGAACCACAAAATGAGTCTTCGGAAATTATTTCGTTGGTTATTCAAGGACATTTCGTCTGGGCACACTTCTCACGATTTCTATGAGATCAAAGTGATGAACCTAATGTGGAGTGCTCACTTATGGGGATGATTGGGCAGGAGAGTACCGAGTATGCACGCCTAATGAGCTACAACAATCGCGAAACAGGCCGTGTGCTTCAAGAGAAATTTTTTCCTGTCATCCAGACGCGACATCATACTACTTAAATCAAGGATATATTGTTCCAATCTGAAAGTGAACGTACGGCTGTGCCTCGTAATGCACAGGTAATGTGACCTCAGGGTCTGAAAAAGACTGAACACTCTTTTTGAAGCTTGCTCATTCGATTTACTTTTATATTCGAAATTAGGTGATAGGGAACGAGTCACGGGAGAAGGTTTGTTTCTCTGGCTTCTCAGCCTTTCCGTACGAGACAATACAAACACCAAAACGTATTGGATGTACTTAGGCGGTGTGCACGCATCGCCGTGACCTAGCACGGGGTTGATCTCTAAAGCACGAAGGATTCAAGCTTTTGAGCCGTTTGACCGGCGGTGCTACATTTTTGTGGGAACATTATCTCATTAAATCAGAAGAATCGGTTCGCCATAGCTGCGATACACCGTTATACTCGGTCAGAAATCATTCTTCCCAAACAGACTACTAGATTTTCTACTGAATCAGATTTAACTGCTAGCATATATGAAAGATTTCCTACTCGATACGGAAAACACATCAGTGTTGGCTGTCAGTTTGTTCTTAACTTCACTTTGTCTGTCAAAATTTCATCCCGTTCCCATTCAATAACAATACACCTGTGTTTTGCATGGAATAAATTTGGCTAAATCCGTATATCACAAAATCACGTGTCGATTATCGGTTTCTAACGGTACGAGAAAACTGGAGTTGGGATTGACACATGTCATTTCGTCGTGGTATGGCAAGTAGGAAATCTTCTATGCATACTCAGAGCCTTCCCAAATCTTTTCACCATGGGACCACCATCAAAACAACCTGAAAGGAAGCTCCGTTCTGCACACAAAACACAACTTTGTCTTTCGATGACTCTTTTTTATCTTACTTTTTTGTTTGTCGGAAAACAATATGTAAATCACTGTAGGAGATTCCTACGATGAGTCAGCCGAATCCTTCACTGTATCTTATCTAGTAGACCACTGAGTTTTTCAACCATAGAAAACTGTTTTGGACAGGGTTATCACCAGTCACCTTGAATTATTCTCCCTTGAGCTACATGTACCCGTCTCAACCTCCGATCATTGGTTGATTCTTCTATGAACTGTTATGTACACCTTATTTGCTTTTCACTCTTTCAGGTGAACGGATCCAATAAAATCCTGCCTTTGCAGTATTCTCGTGACAACAACCCTCCTCTGCAAAAGTCCCTTTCTGATGCATCTTCTTGATTTTCCTTCAGATCGTCACTAAGCAGCAATGTCAAACTTTTCATAAAGATGGTCCCTTTAGATTTTTACATAGTCTGCCCCATAGAAACCTTCTTCCTTTATCCGATGTGAAAAACACCAAAAGACAGAAGGAACGCTGCTGTTAGGCCCGAGAAATTTCAAAACCTAGATACATTTCTGTGCTAATACAGAGGGAAATCAAGCTTCTCATCTAAACGTATCTTTGTGGTTTTATTCTACTCTCGACTGCTGAAGTCTCGTCACAGCTGTTCCAATACCAAAATCCGATAACCCTAGCCTTTTAGCGAAGCGGTCTTGTCTCATTACCCTAATTCCAGCTGGTCTTAAACAGACAAAGCGTGCCACCATTGAAAGCTTGAATTCCTCTACGTCTCCTTCTGATGAAGCCCTTGAGTTTCCTATGAATCAAACAGGTGCATTGTGGACACTATCTTTTCTCTAGTCTATCAAGTAAACAAATCCTTGGACGCATCAGCGAAGTCTGTGCGAGGTGGTTACCTCACTTGTCTACTCGTTGCACAGTGATTCATACAACTGTATCCATTTTAACACCATTGATTTATCTTTTCCATCCCTTCCTCCTCGCATCAACCTCTACAGAAACTCTACATTTCCCACCGAACACTAGGCTTAGCTGAATTTCTTAGTAATTTGTGATGTGTAATCATTTTTTTCATTTTTTCAAGCCGATGAGGCTCAAGGTGTAAATTCTTTTTGAGTGAAATACGAACCCACGGGTAATCAAAAGGCATGATCAAAAACAAAGACACCTATACACAAGCGCAGTGGATGCATGTATGTATCACAAACCATGACGACACAGACCAGCCACTAAAACAGGAAATAATCGACGTCCACAGTCACGAGATTTCGGATGATGAAATGCCACTTAAAAATAACGACAGGCCAGATATGATAAAGATTCGAACGATAGCTCAGTGCTCGTTACAGTCGAGTCGGAACCGCGTATCTCACACTCCACAGACCGAGATCTCATCCAGTTGAGTAGCCACCAGAAGATCCGATAAATGAGATCTCCTAACTCTATCCTGTCTACTCTGCTTAGAACGAGATTTTCTAATCGTGTACGATCTGGGTTTGTGCCCATACCTTTTCACTTGTCATCACCAGTTTTAGTCCATGCTCCTTGGTATCGTACACTGCGTGTTGCGCTTGATCTCATCCAACTGGTATGCTCTTTGGTACATGGCGTATGGTGATCAACTCTGCTGACTGAAAGACGAAAAATCTGATTGATCAAACTATTGCAATGTGGATCTAAAATTCGAGCTTTGTGCATATTTGGTTGGCTAGTGGAAAATTGCCACCAAAGGAGCCGAAAATTATGACGAACCAGAACTGAGTCTGTGAGGTTGTCCGGGAGGTAAATCCGATGGCTGTAGGGTTTGTAGTCGTGATGAAAGGTGCATCATTTCATGTCACCTAGAATTGCCCAGAGAGGAACAAAAGACTGTTGGGCCTACATATCCTAGGTTAAATTCCTCGTAGAAAAGTGACTTGGCGAATATGCACTACGGGTGGTTAGAACAAAACAGATGCAAGTTTGTCGTCGTGGTACAAAAAATGGGGTTTGGTGTAGTTAATCGGTGTTCCATCACTCAATAAAGAAGCAAATAACACCTTTATCATACATAATGCATTGCTAATTTGGCACGAAATCCCCAACGGATTGAAGAAGCAGACATCCCAGAAGTGCGTAGTTTGATCAAATAAACTATCGACTGAGACACATAAGAGTCTATGTCCGGTTTTTGTCCCCTTGTTTTACTGTTTGTTTGTGTGTCTGTTTGAATGTGTGCGCGCGCTTATATGCGCAAAAGTGACCTATGTGAAACTTACATGTGAAGCTACTGTTTTTCCGACGGCTTGCTGCTCTGTTTTGATTTGTAAAAGATGATAGTCATAATTTAAAATCGATATCATACAAAGTGGGCAACTCACATCCAACATCCAACTGAATGGATGCGCGAGCGCTACCAGCCAAATTTTCAGCAATACACGCCCATTCGCCCTTCATTCGATGATCAATGACCAGTAGATCAAGTTTTCCTTGGTCTTCATCAATGCGAATTTGAGTACCGGTGGAAACCTGTCATTTACGTGGGGCAAACGGCATTACACTTGTATTGTCATCGACGTGTTATTGGGAACTGGCTGATTTATCACTCATCCTGATACAACGTGGAAGGAATAAGTATTACTAGATTGTGAAAAGTAATTCTCAAAGTTCGACAAGGATTATTGGCTCTGAATTATGAAAGGATGAATAAAACTTACTGGACTTCCATTAAACTCCCACTTAATGCGAGGTTTTGGCTGTCCGGACACGTGACAAGTAAACGTTTGTCCTTTTCCAACGACCGGACTCATATTAGACATTTCGAGCTTTTCAATTTTCGGAATCGATATATAGCTGGCCAAAATCACAGCGCTGTTGTTCCCGGCCGAATTGGTCGCCACGCAACTGTACTGCCCAGCATCCTTTTCACCGGCTGGTTGGATAATCAAACGAGACTCCTAGAAGACAAGAGTAAACAAACAGTTATTTACGGTAGTGATAAACATCTTTGCCTATTGTAACTACTACTAGTGAATAAATTAGTACTGAAGTTCTAAAGTCAGTGTCCACGTTGCACCTGCTCATTTTAGGACACTCTGCGTTTGTCGTGCCGTTCATCAGTTCTCAGCATTTGTGAAAAAAATGAATGAAAAAGCTCGTATAACATCTGGTGACCGCTGCCCATTTCCGCCCTTGTTAACCGGCACAGGCACTAAGTGGAACCTGAACAACATCATAGAGCACCTCAAAACAATCCTGCGTTCGTTCGATTTCTCCAGGTTTGTGCCCTTACCAAAATGGTAGCAACCCGTTATGCAAATACCCCGGTTTATGTGCTCGAAAGGGTTTACCATGTGATCCATGGTTCTATTGTTTTTCGGCCAATTTCATTAAGGCAAGTATTTTTCTTTAGAGAACTGTACGTGTTTGCCACATACCGTTTTCTAAAAAATTAGCAATAGGAATTTTTTACGATTTAAAAGTTTTTTCTCCATGAAACTATTTGAGCTCCACGGATCACCGGGAAAAACAAATTCTCTGAATTATTATGTAAAATAAAAAGTTCATCATGAGATATCACTACCTTAGATGATAGCCTCCTGACTATAAGCGTCATTTAGTGATTTGGTCGTCGAATCCTCGATATAATTAGATCTCGTCGAGAGCTCTTGTTTGTATGCCTTATTCTCTGTTTTAAGGTGTCGAATTTCAGTTTTTATGATTCTGAGACCAGCAGCAAATCATACACTAACTTTTCACTCCCAACAACGTTGTGAAAATTGTGTCCTGATTTCAGGGCAGTTAACGTTCGCGAGTCACGTGAATCACCCTTGGTACAGTGGTTCACTTTTCAGGGTGGGCTACAAGTCAGCATGACTTCAGTTGCCATCACTATACATGGCATGGTAATGCAACGAAACTGATGGGCCGCAGAGACGAATTCATCCAAGTGAAGTGACAAAGTTGATCATGCTAATGAGTCCGTGATGGTACATAAGAATACAATAGTAAATAATTTAGGTTTACAACAATATTGAATACACTGCACCAGCACCACAGTTGACTTAAACAAAGAGCGGACCCGGGTGATCAAGGAAAAACTGGCTCATCTGAACAATGATGATCATGATGATGTGTTTTAATTCATCCTAAAGATCCATTTTTGCCTAAATGGTACTTGCTCACACCCAACAAGTTGAAAAATGCTTCCCGTTCAAACAGTGACTGCTTATTTTAATAAAATAACTTCACCATGCGTTTGCAATGTGGATCAGTTTAGATGAACACCACGAAAACTCACATAAAATTCCTCGTGTATTGTGATGCGTGACTGATCCATCCCACTGATTGCTATTGGTACCTTGTTGAACAGCCATGAGATCTTTGGTTGTGGAACTCCCTCGGTGAGACAACCGAGGACCAAGCTGCCACCTTCCTTGAACATAATTTCCTCTGAGGTGGTGGTCACTTGGGGAAGTACTGAAATAAAAATCGGATGGACAGACAGTATGGGTATTTGACTGCCACATTTTAATGGATGTGGATTGGTGTATAAGAGGTTGGATCGGGCTTTTGTTTAGGTTTTACACTGACAATACATCCTTCTCGTTTTGGGAAAAAATTTTCTCGGATAATGCTACAAGTCAGTGACGAGGAATGGTGAACGGAAAGATTCGTAGGAAGAATCACTGAACCAGAGAATGGAAAATCCATTTCAATTTTTCGCATAACATGTACCGGAATCGAACCGGTGAATGCGCTCACGAGGAAGTTGCACCATTAGCTGGGCTATCGGGCTATGGACAGTCGGACGTGATTAGCTCAAGTGAATATACAATGATGCGCAACGACCATTGTATTGAAACACAGCAACCTCTATAGTTCTTATCCTTGGTCTAGCCTGAGCTCTTGCCCATTTGCCATGACTGATAAAAAAAACAGTTACCCTGATGTGACTCTTCAAATGTTAGAAGGTTGATAGAATTCGTTAGACCTGGTGCTTCATCCTAGATGGACAATTTATTGAATATGTGTTGCACCTTGTCTTAGATAGACCAATTTAGTGTACATTCTTCGCTATTGGCGTTGATCAGAGGAAGTTGCAAACTGACTGTCACACGACGAAAAACTGTAGCTAGGATAGTTGATCGTATAGAACTTAAGACGTTCTGCTGAAGTTGGACGAAGCAGATCCGGTGGATTAATGAACAAATGAACGAGAGGTCAAATGGATGGATAATTGAATGAATCGAACGAAGAAGACCAAAAGTAGCGTGCCGACATTCACAGTCATCCGTTCTATCCGTACTTACTACCTTGGAATACAAAATAATTGTACTAACGTTGGCCGTTGTAATGTTCACAACTCAGGCTAATCGTTTGCCTAAGCTCATCGTTGACGACCTTCGAATTAATGAAGCTGACGATTCCTCATTAGTGAAGCTGCTCTAATCAGTTGAATTCCTCCTAAGGTATTCGAAAATTCCTGTTATTTAGACTAAGAGAAACAGGTGAAACCCTAAATACAGATTAACAAATTAGGCATGGAAACATCGCTGTTGGTAATGAAACTTTCAACTCTCACGGCATTTACAAAGACGGCCCTTAATATGTACCAAAATGTATCTTGTTAATAATTACCTGACACATTAATGATAAAATGAATGATTCTTGCCGAGTATCAGATATCCTGGAGGCCTCCCCCAATGCATAGTGTACTATTTCAGCAGGTCTAGCTTTGAATAAACAAAACTGTCTCTGCCAGTCGAAATCTGTTTGGCAAGCCTCCGCTATTGTCTGCCTTCTCTCCGATGTGTAACAATCGTTGTAAAACCACAGGTTTACTTTCCCATTTTAGTACTACGAACTATTATGTCCTCCGTGAATTTGCTCTATCTGGTTGCTGGGACCACGGACGTGATCCGATCATTTGAAAAGCCCAACAACTGAAGTACGCCTGTTGCTTCATAGAGAAATCCACCCGCTGACAGTCAGGTTACAGTTGCATTGTGGGGGATTCCATGAGCTGATTTAATTTGGGCGCGTAATCGGTATGATTTATTTGGCAAATATCGAAAGCCCTTGGGGTGGCTTCGTAGCACAGCTAGTATTGAACAGGCTCGGTAGCAAAGCGTGGGTGGCTTTCATGCGCGCACTAAGACCTCGTTGGGGCAAACAAATTTTCTCGTTTGGCCCAATTAAACATAGGGTAAAAGAACCGTGGAGAGCCAGCCCCGGATAACCTGGCGGTTTGGTGCTTTTGGACTTGCAGCCTTTCATCCCGAGCTCGAGTCTGCTTTGGGTTTAGTGAGTGAAAGAGCTGTAGGGTGCTTTCATTATTTTCAGTAGTGAGTTGGTCTTTTGTACTGCATGATAAGTAAGGCAGAATAAGGACGTTAAACAGTATGTTTTTGTTTGGAATTCCGACAAGTTGTACTTATCTCTTCCGTTGACAAAACTTCCAGCTGGTCCTTTTTCATAAATGAGAAAAGCATCCACCAAAATTAGCAGCCGGGGATTTTTGAATGGTTTTTCAATGGTTTTGCTGCAACTTCATTATTATTCTAATCTTGAAAATGTATTTGAAACATTCTGCCGCTGTTTCCTCCTACTAACCAGAAATCTTTGGCACAGCGTATCTAATTATCAACCGGAGCCCAAAAGTCTCGCAAAGCGCACCAATGAGCTAATGTAGACTTGACTCCAAAGATTTCGTTCACATAAGCTCTACGTGAAATACGGCATCCGCCCAGTACAGACTCGAGACACGCGCTGATGTCATACGCTTTGATCTATTGTGAATATGCAAAAAATTACCAAAAACCAACAAGCCGGCTGACCTATCACATTCCGGACCAATGTTAATTTTTTCTGAACAAGACTGAGAAAAACTGCCTTCGGGATAAAAAAATCATCTATCTCCTTTGAACTTTTGCCGACAGCTTTGGCTGACATTTTATCCCCTTTTATACCATACGTGATACGCATCCGTTGATCACTAATTTTAAATGTAAACGGCTTTCTTGGTTTTCTAACTTTTCCACTTTGGGGATGCAACGGTTGTACATTTTCCGTGGTTAAAAGTAGGCTGAAAGGTTCATAACTATTAGGATATCCAGTTTGAAGTTCAACACATTGTTAATTATTGTGAACGCCTAATTCATTTACAGCAAGTAAAGTTACATTTAGAGCAACGATAACTTAGTGCCAAGGGTTTGTTCTCAATACTATTCGATGTCATAAGCTGATTGGGCTAGTTGTGTTTTAAATGCAGTAGAAGAGTCATACCCTCAAGGTTCACTACTTCATAAAGAATAACCAGGGAGGATGACTGCTACTTGGAATCATATGCGGTCTTTACAGGCAACAATCTGAATGAAAATGATTTGCCGTCTACCATCACTAGGGCCGTCGATGATAGGATTCACACCTTGGACTACACAGATGAAAAAGGCTAACAGCTGTCAGTAATGTAGTGGTCGATTGAGAGAACGGTTCTTTTTCTCCGTCTCCTCAACAAACCCATGTGTCTACGAGCTCCCTCAATCCCGCGTTACACATAACAGGACAAAACACACCAAATTAGGATGAAAAGGTAATATCTAGCCATCTACTTCTTATACAAGACTTTAAAGTGCGGTAATAGTACCGGATGCATTGATTCCCAGAGTAAAATGCCGAAGTGGCTCAAAAATACATCGCGCACCTCAGAGCAATTCGCGTATGATCTGGTTAAGAAAAATGGCACCACGATTGAACAACCTACTGTGGATGTGCAGAAACCCGTCCGCTTCGCTCACACCACCTTTGTGTTTTGCCTCGCATACATATCGACCGGAATCGCTTTTTGTAGCTGCACTGAAAGTGTTCGAGCAAAGGGACCGAGAAAGGACAGTGAGAACATCAGGATTATTACTATCACTTAGATCAAAGAAAGATACTGGTAAACGAATAGCTCTATTCCAAACTTCTTTAGTATTCATTCACAGTTCTGTTAATCTCGAACGTCCTAAATGACCAAGTGTATGTTTTGAATTTTCATAACTTTCATTTAACTTTAGAAAGTGATCATACGAACCTAGTTTCTTTCCTCAAAAATTTTCAAAGTGAACTGGGCGGAAAAGATATTCGACAGAATCTTAACTACCAAGTATATCTGAGTCTGCATGCATCAAACAACTCGGTGATGAACTACCAATAGCCATCACTTGTCTTCTTCACACTGCTATTGGATTTCTAGATCGTGGATAAAGCACTATTAAACTGCTACGGTATAAATTCAACCACTGCGAGACGAGCGGGAGTCACAGAAATCTCGTAAGTTGTTCAGACCGTCAATTGTTTACTTAAAGTGTGAGGTGTTTTGGAATCCATTTCTGGTGTCAACTGATAAAATATTTCTTCATATGTGGACTTTGTCGTATTGGTATTTTTTCCCTAGTCCATTGTAGCTTTCTTTTGTTTGCAATTGCGTTTTTACTTTCAACAGTTGCTCGTGAGACGGTTAGGGACAGAAGAGAAACTATGGCTCCAGTTTTGTTTATCCGTTATTTTGAATTGTGAGCGTTAGCAAAATCAATTATTTCTAACGTATTAATATTCAGTAACGCGGTCTTTTCCTATGGTTATATCTTCTAATTCCTATCGATCGTCATTTTAATATCATTCTTTGCTGGATGAAAAGCAAAACGAATCAAAACATTCAGATGCGACGGTATTTATTTTGTTTTTATTTTTTCAGTGATTTGCGGAAATTTGATAAGGAAACAATTTCAAACGAACAAAATGTTTCTTGCCACCAGATCTGGCAGTTTTTGATCAATATGATTTCCCGCCAAAAAAAGCATGCATATGTATAGCCGATCAGACTTTTTCTTAGCTTCTGAACATGACCAGATGTAAACTTTCAGGCCTACAAATTTCTGCTGAGTCTGGCAAAAATGACCAAATCGTTTAACAAGACACTCTGTAGTCTTGTGTTCTGAATTTTTTTGGAAGTATTCTGAAGTACAAATTGCACCATTTGATCCAAACGGACAGTAATGATGATGTAGAATCAGATTAAGACGGTGAAACTTTAAGGATATTAGAGGCCTCCGAATATCATGGGTGACTTTGATTTGAAAGGTATTTGAAAAGTAACTTTTGCATATCGAAATGTGACTACAGTGCTCGTGTTCTCAAATTCCGAAAAATAGATGCACTCAAAATCATGCTAGATATAATTAATTTTTGGTGGTCTGTGTATGACATAGAATTTAAATCATAATTATTCGAGATCATATATTAATCAGAGAAGTTTGCATTGAGTATAAAATAGAAATAATCTATCGGGTTCATTCCAGGGTATTTTGAAGAAGTGCACTCTTAGAACAGTTTCTATGCTTTTGACTGTCACGGGTCTAGAAGCGGTGAATAACTTTGGCTACAAACGTGGCGGAGTTTTGTATAATCAGCCAGTGGGAAATAGGTGGAATTTTCCTCAATGGCAACCGGATATTTGAAAAAGGATTCTCGAATCGGAGGAGATTATCCTAACCGTGACGATAAACCGAACAGAAAGTCATCTTAGAGAGACTAAGACCCTAAACTGCGTGTCCCACGTCCGCTTGAAAAATTTGTTGATTAGTGGGATTTCTATATCTGCACTGCTATTGCTTTCAAACTAGATATTCCCAGTACTTCATGGATGACTTAACCAATGTTATTTCTTAATAAATACAACCTAAATGGTCGACACAGAGTGAACTGGTGTCTATCATATTTTAGTGATCACTTACACGTTGAATTTGGATTGAAGAGACTGAAAAATATCATCTACTTTTCTCAGAGTTTTCAAATACATGCACACGTGCCTTTGTCAATGAACGAATAAACTCACGTGACGGTCAACTTGCTGATCAGAGCTTTTGTTGGGCCGCCCGAGGGTGAAGCCTGTTGAGTCTCCACCCGATATCGTCGTCCTTCTTTCAGTTCAAACCTCGGTTCCAAACCTCTAAACCATCGAATCTGCACATCCTCATCCAAGCTGAACACGTTGCAAGTCAGAACTGCATCCGCTCCCGGTTCGACGCTGGAGTTTCGTGGAACTAGGACCCGTGGCGGAGGAGCTGGAATATCCGACAAAAATTGGGGTTATTTTTTAGTTAACCGAGGTAATAGATGTATTTGTAATTGCCAAGTCAAATTTGACACTTTTGTTGTGAAAACCTAAGCTTATTCCCGACTACCAATAACCAGAAAATAGAATAGAAACGACGGAACGTATGAGTTAAGTTCATAGTGTTTGAAAAGATTGACTTTTGGAATCCCACAAATCTATTTCCCTCACATTTCAGTATTGTACGAGAAAGCTACCAGAGTTATTTCCAGCATTTCCCTGTGTCTCTACGTATATGTTAAAAGTGGCAATAACATAGGTGCTGAACTACTAAAAAGATATTTCACAAAACCTCAATGATGTTTATTTGTGTTCAACTTACGCAAAATAACAACGGCCACTTCATCTTTATATTCACCCTCAATTTTCAGTTCGCTCGAAGCCACAGTTGGAACAACCTCGGCGGCATAGATTCCGTGGGAGTCTTCATTTGCATCGGATATGACAAACTTCACATCGGAAGCGAAACTTTATCAGGGTAAACCAAAAAACGCAGGTTGTGCTTTTAGCTGAATTTTTGCTGTGTGAAATTTCATCCAGATCAATAAAGAACTTGGATTATTGCAAATCTAGTCTAAACTGAAACAGATTTACTAAACTTATGGACGGGATCTACTTGCACGGGAGAAAGGGAGCTGAGAAATTTTAATGACGCCATATTCTCACTTCCAATACATCAAGTCACATCAGGCCAAGAAAGGGGCCATGTTTGCCCATAAACAGAACAATTTATCAGTTACGCTTTAACTTGATGAAATCGGTTCGTCGCGTTCACAAAAGAGTTGCGACGTTTGTTACACGCACCTTCACGAATGTACTAGAATAGGCGTACTCTATTGCTTTAGATGTCCACTGCACTATTGTGGATAACCGGCAAACTTGACCGTAATACTTGGAGTGGAAAACCCCGCGCGGTCCACATAGTTCATTCGTGGTAACCAGTCTGGCCATCGCGGACTGCTGCCCACACCCAAAATGACCGGCCCTGGGAGAGAAGGACCACAATTTGCCTGTTATCTACCGAACCAAACAATCTACCAGAACAAGCAATGACTCATTCTTAAAAGTTCATTCTAGAAACGCATAAATATTTCGAGATGTGATTGAGCTGAAGCTACAGGAAAAGTGCGTAGAAAAAGGAACCAGTGATCCTGTTCCACTCGACTGAAGAAATCGTTGATAGAAAAGCTGATTTTCACTGACCATTCGTATGCCTCTGTAAAAAAATGATTAAAATTTTATAGGGCATATGAAGTAATTTTTAGTTAATAGTCAAACGTGAAGCAAAATTAGAAATGATGCTAAAATTTAGAATAGAAATTAGTTCTGATACATTTTTGCTGGAAATGTTTTAGAATTTGAGAAAGCACACTGATCTGGAAATGTGCTTATTAGGGTGAAATGCATTTACTATGAATTCGTCGAGCAGGCACATCTATACAGCCGCAAATTGAAGGTTTGCTATCGTTCTTATTGTGTCCTCGAATTAACTGAGAAACCACCTGGATTCTACAGGACTTCATAGGTAGACTTTCCCGTCAACTTCCAAAGTTTGCTAGCCTGTCAGCATGTTGGTTGTATGAGACCAAAAGTTTTATGGACGCCGAGTTGGGTTCAAGTGGAACCGGGCGTTCAACTAATGGGCGTGATATATTTTCGCTTAAGATTTTGCCCAAATTTTACTGACCAGATAATCAATCTCAACCCTATTCCCGCCGTAAGATTTTATCAACTTTTGTGTGACAAGTTGTTGATGGATGGACAGTATGTCATTGAACTTTGAAAATAGCGAACCAAGTTGAGCCGGGTGCACTGATGAGTACGGTTTCACAAGACAGCACTCGGTTTTGCTTCCCGTTCGGATTTGACGAGTAGTTGGCTGGTTGTGTGCAACCTGACCCTGAGGATCAGTATTGGGATTGATTTCGACTAAAGTGATTGGTTTCATTGATAGCCGTATTGTGGGAGAGTGGGCGTTAGTGACTTTCAGTCAGCATTTTCTGTTTCACCTCAGCTTTGCAGTAGATCAAAAGTTTACTGCACAGAAACAAGGATGTTAAGCCTATGACAAAAATGTCATTTTTCTCACTAAAATAACGTTTGAATCACTAAGGATTTGAGCTTTCCTTCCCAAAAGATAAATTTTTGGATAAAAAGGTTGGCGTGAATGTGCTGAAGAACTCATCTAGGTCAAAAAGTGGCATCAGACTGGCGTCGATTCTCCTCATTCATTATCAAAGGTAAAATAATTGCTTGAATATGTAACTACACAAATCCGCAATTACTTTTAAACCATATAGAAGAAATAAAGAACCAGATCAAAGTGCTCCGTAGCAAATGGATATTTTTTAAACCCCTTAGGAATTTTGCATCCACACCCGGTATCTGCAATGAGGGTCCAATAGGGGTAACGGAAAATTGTGAAATCGGTCTGTCTAAACTTCTTCGATAGGAATGCACACTACAAACAAGGATTTGATAGAAGTGCACTGGGCTCCATGTAATTTGGTCCGTTCATAGACTAGGAATCCGTGAAGCGTGCATCAATTCTGACAACACAGGGTGCACCGAATAAAGCTCTTATTGTCATCCTTTCGTCGTTATAGTTTGCCGCTGCCCGGTGGTACTGAGTCGACTGGTTCAAGGAGCCTGTGCTTTGACCGTCAAGTGTTCAAACTCGGAGCAAGATGTTTTTTCCTGGAGTGAATCTTTGTGAAGATTTTCTAAAAATGTCACGACTGAAAATTCTATTCAGAGCGTATAACATAAAAGCAGGATGTTTAAGAAAAAATGACTCAGCCTTTTGATGAAAACCCAATCAGTAGTAGCCTCATCGTGAAAATTATCCTATATATATATATATATATATATATATATATATATATATATATATATATATATATATATATATATATATATATATATATATATATATATATATATATATATATGAACGATTGGAAATAATCCTTTGTAGTTACAAAATATACGTATAATATCGTGAAATTCAGGCTGCAAAATAAAACGTTCAGAACACTAGTTAGGAATCATTATACACTAAGTAAATGGCATAAACCAGACCTGCAAAATCTGCCGTTCATGCTTATTTCAAAATTTAGAATCAGCATTGTGCTTGTAGGGCCATGTATGTGATTCAGTGTGGTACCAGCAATGCAGTCAAGTTTGGTCAAGTTTTTCAACCACCTGTCACCTTGAAGTCAAGAAGTTCAAATTTGGCCTTCACCAATCAGCATTCGTAGACAATAGTCCGTTGTTGCTCATCTCGTTACCATACCGAACATATCGGGGCATTGTTTGATTCTCCACTTCGTTTCTCAGTGTCATGGTTGCCGGTTATCCGAAAAAGGGTAGTTGGCCTCTGAGACAATGAAGTATGTCCCTACACTACACATGCACAGTCATATAGTACAAACTGGGCAACTGGACCCGAGTGAACTCATCAACAGTGCACTGTAACAAACTCATAAGACCCCGCAAACCATTACAATTATTTAGTTGAACTTAGAAATATGGTGGATAAAATAGGGTCCCTTCTGTCCGTAAAATGCCCTCTACCCCATGTCATCTACGGAACGTAGCATTCGGGTTACGAATACATTTTTTCATCTCGTGAACTAATGTTCTGATCCGCTTTGTTCGAGTTCAGTATTCTACCAGACTGAGAACACGCGAAACAGAGTTTGGTAGCGAGTTAAAAGTTTGTGGTGCACAATGACTACATCTCGGTGAACTCAGGTCAAACAAGAGCACTTTTTATGTATGCGTTTGTGTGCAACACGATGCTAGTTCAAGGTATACTCATTAGGAAGATGAACCCACTTGTAAACTTGATTCTCATCTGGACGTCCTCCCAAATGTTTGCCATCTTTGTACCATTTGATAGTGTACGGAATTTCGCTGCTAACGAAACAAGACAGTTCACTTGTTGCTCCGCGTTGCAGTTCTACTTTGGCAGGGCAAGTGATCACAATCGGACGAGGTTTACGTCCAGACAAAGCAACTTTCGAGTAGCGTTGCAGAGCGAAACCTCGGCTATCGCGACCGGAGACCTGAGTGAGTAAAGTGTTGTAGAATCAGTAGCCAGTACTAGTGGACTAACTAAGTGAGAAAGTTTGAAAAAACATGTAGCAAACAATTGCGTTATCACAACTGAAGGGTACAGAATCAAAGTATCTTTGGTTTAATCTCCGCATGATGGGCCTCTAAAGAAAGACTAGACTTTGAACTCTTCGGAAGTCTTGAGTTTTTTTCGTTCCAAACTTTTCACTTCGTACGCAAATCAATAAATATTGGTCACAATATTTACCCTTCAAGAAAAGAGAAGAGGAGGTGGAAGGTGAGCAGTTATAAAATGGTCTTCAGGCTGTGCACGTCCACTGATCTTTAACCGGAACATACACGCTGAACGTGGATTGATCCTGGTCAGCGGTCAAACAATTGCTTTGTATCGGCGCAACACGAGAGAATGGGACAAAAACTACCAAGCCTAAAAAAGTCTGTACACAACACCAAATATCAGGATATTCTGCACAATCACATGTTCCATACGTTGCCGTACCAAAATATTCTGAAATTGTTCGCCTCGTATAACCTCACGAAAAACATTTTATTGAAGGCTATTTACGTTCGAATGATTCAGAGACGCAGTCCAGAAAGATGCATCCCAATATCATGGAAATTAGAGTTTCGAAAGCCAGCTTGATGCTCAGTCTTCGAGTACAACCTCGGAGTCAAGAGTAAAGCTTGCCATGGAAAATCTGATTTTCATTTACATCATTTTAGACTTGACTTGACACTACCCAAGCTCCAGATTCTTAGAACATAGCAGCCGGCCTACTGGTAGTCAATTTTTTACTGACTTTGTTTGGAAGAATGCATCAGATATTATCTTGTGCACTGTGCGTTGTTTAGTGGTTTTGCTTTTTGAGACCCACTTTGGCTCGTGGTCAGGAGAGATAAGTTAGCGTATCTTGCAGTTTTGTTTGTTTATTTTTTTATAAGCATCGGTTATCACAGCATAAAGAGAGTAGTTTACAGAAAACCTGCTTTCGAGGACGCTTAACATGTTCGAGAGGCAGAGAATTGGTATGCAAGTCTGGACTATGCAAGTGGCGATAAATTGTATGCATCTTATATCCTAACGTGATGTGGTGTGGCTTTGTAACGGCAACGTGTGGAACTCCATGCATCATATCATTGGCACATAAGGTAATCCAGTAAATCATGGGATTCTTTCATGTGCAATTGTTTGAATCCATTGTAAGGAGAATTTTCCTGAATTTGCCACTAATAGAAGGAGCTTGGATAAGTTTACGAACCATTCGTCATCCAACTGCAATGTTACACTAACCTTTCAAAAACCGTCGAGGTTCACACACTATACGGCTATTCCATTCCGGTAGTCAGTAATTATCAGTTACAGGATGGATCTGTCGAGTCCTAAGTTGAACTCGGTGCTACATTGGGCAACGCCTGTGCTTGAGTGTGATGAGAGAGAAATACGAGGTGTTTACCCAGGAACCAATGCGCTTTCAGGTGGTGATAAGAAAAACCTGTAGATGTGATTTAGGGCGAGCACAGCGACGATGATTCAGATAACTGTAAAGTACATTCCGCCACCAAGGCTGACCGGTACTAATCGGGTTTTACACCAGAATACAGGTTTTCCATTCGTGATCTAGATTTGTGTAACCCTTACTCAGCTTTGTTGCATCGTTGATCAGTAGTTCATGACAAATCTTAGCCGGCTATTGTATTCTTCTTGGAATCTGCTGAACCGAAACCTCAAGGCTGAGAGAAAAGCATTGGAAGTCACTTTGGGTAACTGGTCAGTGAGGAAAAATAAGAGGGGATGTTTCCCTGTGTTTCGCCTCATGGGGTCATTTGTGAGAAATCCACTAAGCGGATTTCATAACGAAAGCATTCATGATTTGAAAATTCTCGTACACTATCAAGCAGTGATGCGACAATGCTCAGCAGCGGTGCAGAAAGATGAACAACGTCTGGAATACTGTTAAATGGCCAGTGATTTATGGTACTCAAACACCCTAACCGGTTGTTCTCTCAAACATTCTTTGCGTCTCTCAAGCTGTTTTTTAGCATCACTCGACCACCGCAATCATTTGCTCAAGCCCATTTGTATGGTATCATTCTTCGTTTTCAAACTTGGACGTAAATTCGCCGTCTGAACCATCCACGAAATGAAGAACTGGATACACTCTCAGATGGTTGCTTGTTGATTGAACTGGAGTCTTAATATGAATGACTATTGGCACCAACTGTATACTGTAATAAATCTGAGGGAATTTACCATTTTTACGTGATAAGGTCAGCTATCCATAGAAGTTAGAAAGAGGAAATAAACAAGATACTTCTCGTCAATCATGCAATAGTCATCCGCTCTGCTCAAACCTGTGCGCGTTTGTGACATATGCAACATGTCATAGAGGAAAAATAAATTCTTCTCAGCTCTGACCAGGCCGTACTTTCGATTGATCTTGTCGGAACAACGATGCAATCCTGGACCTTATTTCGCATCACAGATATTGGTCATATAACCGTCCAATGAGAGCACTCTGGAATGATTTTGATAGAATGGTCGAGACTGATATTGTTTCGCTTAGTTCGCGTTCATCCGGTGTGGGTTTGTCAGCTGAGCTGGGTCACTGAGATGAAATATTTCATCACGATTTGAGTTGAAATCACCTAGTTTTCTGCTTCTCCCCCCCCCCACTTGTCAACTCTGTTTCATGTATAGGAATCTACTGAGAACAAGGCAATGATTACCTTGAAATGTGATGAGCACTTGTCATAAAATATCAATGGACTTGCGTTTCTAAGTAGTGCGTTATTATCATGAACTGGTATTTCATGGCATGGAGTGTAGACGTAATGACTAACGCGTTTAGGATGTGTATCTTGACTGGGAAAGGCTTAATATGTTTTATCATTTTACTGTTGAATGCTACTTTACTTCCCACCGAATCTCAGTAAACCCCGTATCTTGTTCAAATGGAGATCATTATTAGAGTTTTCCTTTTCTAATACCACGAAAAATAATCGTAAGAGTGCAAAGCACTATAAAAATGATGCAACCTTAGATGAACCGCTTTCACCACGGATGGGGACAAGGTCCACTGTGATCTCATTGTGCCCCGTGGTGGCAATTCCTAAATGCCTTGCCTGAGACCACACGTAGGTGCATCATCCTCGAGCTCCCCAACACGTTTTTGTCCATCGTCACCGATCACCGAAAATAACAGAGTTCCTTCGTACGTGTGACCCTGCTGTGAGGCTGGAGCCTACGTGTGACCCAATACAAAGCTGGCCAAACCGATTCTTTTTCCCGAACCGATGATGATAAAAACGGGGCCGCGGACTGTGTCCGGTAAGTCAGCGGGTTGAGCTTTAGCGGTGTAACGCATGAGTGGTTTATAGTTGTAGGTCACCGTTTGCCGTCACCCTTGAAGAGAACTTTCGGATGTAGAACAGTTATTGTTACTAAAATGTTTATTACCTCTGTAATCATAGTAAAAGCCAGCCTCACTCTAGTACGTTTGTTGCTGTAGTAATCTCACAAAGAAACGCTCTTCTTTTATGCTTGACTGCCTTTGAGTTGCTAGTAGCTGAGTTGAAATAAATTGGCATAAAGGAATTTGGTCTTTCAGGGTATGGCTAATAGTGGTTCACGTATTTCACTCGAACGGCGGTGAGAAATATCAGTGTGTTGCTTATCGGAATTTTCTTTTAATTTGTTCGTCCAATACTGAGGGTTTTATCGTCATCGACATTATCCGTCACTCAGTGTGTCGTCTTGATTCATGTACCCTGGGGAACTAACTTCGTGCGAGTTATCACCGAAATCAAAATCACAACTGTCGTCATTCGAATTATCTTCATTCATGTCGTTTGTCCCCAACCGGCTTTCGTTCCGGAGACTTGAATGGATGACGGTAAACGACGGAAATTTTCACTATTGTATTATTTTTTGTCTGCTGACAGTCTGTTTCCAATAAAAAAAACACCAAAACTTTGTGTCACATCTCCCTCGGTAGCTGTTAGTGGAAACGGCAAGCCAGCCACAATGAACGAGTTCTCACTGAATCATTCGGTCCATATATTAAGTTAACGCTCAAGTATCGAATCAATAGTTCATTTGTGTGTGAGCTGGCATTGCGACCGTTTTTACCACAGTTGTACAATTACAGTTGTTTGGTTGCTTTTAGGAAATGAATGGAGTATTGTTACTGAAAGGAAAATCCTCTCATGAGGAGTGTTCCGTTGTCATTGTATTGATTGTATATTTGATTCGGCTTTTTTGGAACTGGAAGATTGTGCTATTAACCCAGGTGCTACCAATAGTGAGTTGATATGATTGTTCGTTATACGGGATAGATTCAGTTGGATTCTGAGGAAATTATTTCTCGTGTTCACTGGTTATTCCAACCGGATTTTTCCCATCACTATATTTCAATTATGCATTGCGGAAAAGTTGAGCCCCGGTAAAGATCGTGGACTTCATGATGCTGCGTGTATCCAGAACATGTGTGAGTATGCGTGTGTGGTCTGGAAGAGAAATAATTCAACTGCTTACCTGCAGATAAGCATGATCGTGAAGTGGATCGACCGGATGTTGGCTGACGTAGATTTGTGTGTTGGGAGTTTGCTTGGCCGGAATTCGGGCAAGTGATGTCCCATTTGGCGACCGCATATCAAAATAATCTATTCGTCCGGGCTGAAAACGTCCAGTCATGTTCACCATGATGTAATTTTTTACCCCTGTATGGAGTAGGGAGAAGATCGACACCGTTGCGCATTTTCAAAACACGTTTCGCAAATCTGTTTACAATTTTCAGGTATAGTACAGGACAAGTTTCAGTTATTTTTGGTTACGAAATGTTTGTTCGGCTTTTCAGGCTGTTACAGTTACATTTGTGCCGTAAACTGTCTTTAGTGTATTTGGTCACTGAGCAGGTCGTTCTCGCAGATCTTAACCAAAGGAGCTAGTATGTAGTACGTTTTTGTTTACTCAACTACCGATTGTCTTCGTCCAAAAAACATGTATTCCTTTGGCTAAAGCACATTACGGGTGGATGAAGCAATCTTTCAGAGTGATACTACAGTAAATAGTTAAAGTCGCGACAAACAGAGCATTTTATAAAAACTGTCCCTCTCCAAGGAAACGGTATGCCAATGTATATGACTCAACTGAAGTTACAGAATGGGGTCTTTGATGAATGCGCAAAAGCCTCCACGAAACGTTCAACTGTTTTCCTCAAGTTTTTGAGTGAAGCTGTAAAACTAATCAGAGCTGTTACGTATTGGAGTAAATTACCCATGACACCAATGGTCTGTCAGCCGTTGCTGGCTGTTTTACTTCGTCACGTGCGTAGCCAGACGCAATCTCGTACGGACACGTACACACTGAGGACAATCACCGGCGTACGACTGAGAACACAATACGACCTTTACCAGTGTTGCTACTGATACAAAACACAGCACCGGCGCTTGTTCGGGCTGCTCTGATCCGAAGCAAGTTTGATACTGTACTGACCATACAATCTCGTACGCCACGTGAATCAATCGAGCAATGTTTCTTTCATCAGATGTCGTTATTGGTGAACTGTTTTGCCATAATCGTTTGGCATAAAGTACTGTGATCTCATATTGTGCTAGAGGCTCATGTTAACAATAACGATGTGAGTCGAGTCACTGTTGAATTTCACAAATGTATTATCAATTCCTACTCGAAATTGACAGGTAGCCTATGAACAAATAATCGGGGAAGCACCGAAAAGGTTGCAACATCCGTTGATAGAACTTATCAATAGTGCACAACCACGAAGTCTAGACTATGGATAGAACATGCGCATGCATGGTAAAAGTTCATAAAAACTAATATCACCATCCTTTCGAGCACCTGTCCGTCACCTTGGGACTGTACACGAAAATCATTGCAGACAATAATTGTCTACCGCACGAAAGTCGAAACTAATCTCTTCGGTTTTTCTCGTCAACACTGAGTCGTATCTGTCGTGCCCATAAGAAAACGTACACAGGCGCAACTAGAACGACATCACAGTAAGCGGAAAACTGTATTCCGGTCATGACTTATTGCGGTGAGTACAGATGAGTAAGGATCAATAGCGCATAAAGATGAGTGGATTTCGAGGTACGAACCAGTTGATGAGACCCGTTTCCAGTGTACGCGCAATTTCTGTGGCACAAAAGCTGTTGTAACTATGGTAGCTACATAATAGCTTAAATTGTTAATTTCGATAACACGTGGTGTTTGCCTTGAACAGTCGTGTTTAGATAGACACTCTAGCACGCACACGCACACCGCATGCACTTGATCTCATTATCTTGTATTCATGGACTCACGCGTGCAGTCGTACGCACACGTACTGAGTTGATGAGTCGTGCTTCGTCCCGTGCAGCACTGACTAATCAGGTAATACTACATGTTGAGCGACCTTGCGTTGTCTAATCTGATTGTATACTTGGCCTACGCTTTCACTAGCATACAGCATTGACTCACGGGCATGCCTACGTGCTTGTGTTTTCGTCTGCACTCGCTGTATAATGCTACCGAATACATGTTCCACAGTGCAAGCGTGCCTTCCTTCCGCTTACTGAATTCGGGATACAACAACATGTACGTGTGTGCGTCTGTCTATCATCGGTTTTCCCGGTTTGTCACAGAACTGGCACTCATTACCGCGGAAGAACATCCCGATTAACCGTAGAACCGCTAACCAGCGCCACGTAATAGAGTGCTCTTTCCAAGTGAACTTCGGTTTCACTTTACACTTCTGAATGAGCGTTGATCTACATAAGAGACAGATGACAATGTATCGATCGAATGTGTAAGCGCCACGTCCCACAGAGCCTGGTGACGTTCGAGCGGTTACCGTTCAGGACCACAAATTTTAGTGTCCTAAATCCAAACGAACACATTCCACACCACTTTCAGTGTACACTTATTGTGCAAAACACCATATGAGCGTAACAGGTTGGATTTATCAAAATTTAAAGATATAGAAGCTTTCCAGAAGGCTCGAGAATGGTGTTGTTCTCAGTGGATCGGGTCCACAAGGTTCACGCTTGCTTGTTCACCGGGGCAGATTACAGACTTTTTGCTGAAGAGGATGCTATCGAGCAGAGCAATGTGTTGTGCGCACTCATCATTACCTCGTTTTCATAAAGAACGTTTTGTTTGAATAGGTGATGATTTTTTACCATCTTGTACCAATATACCATAATTTTGGTTTCAATGAAAAAATTCTCTGGATCGTCCTAATTTTAAAACAGATAACAATTCTCTCTGGATAACATTGAAGTTCAAGTTCGGAAATGAAAAGAATCCATGGTGATATTTTAAAATATTTTGATAATCGTAATTTATTTTTACTGATCTTCATCCACTTGACAAGTATTCGAGTCGAACTAAGCGGTTACTCATTAATTTTGCTTCCGATATAATGATAAGAAGCGATTTCATGTGTGAAAAAGGGTTCTCGTTGACATGAAAACACTCGTCTTTTGGGCATACCAAATAAGGAATAGACCAGATAAAAAAACTTACCACCGATCGGCTGACGTGACGTGCCGTAGTTGAATGGATGGGATGTGGTTGCAAATCCTTGTAACAGATCCACATCACTGATGCCGGAGATGCGTACTGAGAATGCCTGTTGATCTTCAGGCTCTTCCCCATCCTCGGGAGTTTCCGTTGACGAAGCCGCGTCATCCATTTTCGTGCTGACTTCCAATGTCCACTCGCCCGGAGCAGGTCGGTCGATCGAACCAGCAAACACAGAATGAACTGCTTTCATTAGACGCTTCAGGCCATCCTCATGTCCGATGAGTTTTCCTGCCATTCGAGAAGATACAATACAGATCAAATGATTACCTAGGGCACTTTGAGCACAAAAAATTATTCCCAGGTAAAAAAAGTCTAACAGTGGCATTCGTAGAATGTAAAATAACAGACTGAAACCCAAGATAAAGAATCCCAACAAGAATTCATCCGCTTCTTCCATTAATTCACTCGCTGTCTTTGAAAACTGAACTGACCTATTGACTAGTACCAACCAGTCAATGAGATGATCTAAGTTTTGACGAGATCCTTCTTCACCACCAAAACATGTAGTCCGTATCTAGTTAAACTGATACTGAGGGATGTATCTATATGAGTACTTTGAGGATCTCATTTATTCCGCTTATGCTGCAGAGTAACGTTTCCCATCTCCAGAAATCAGTGGTCAAGAGTTGGGTCATCACTCTGGCTGATTATTGTCTTAGAATTTCCCAAATCTCCACATACATCTAAAACGGATGGTGACTGACGATATAGCAACGCATTTGGGGCAATTTCTGTAAACTGTTATACTTCAACTACTGCCTTCTTGAAAATTCAGCACGCCATTTCAGGAAACGTACGGAAGATCCTGAAATCACTTCAAACAACAGTTTGCATTAAATTTACCACCATAGTTTGGAAATCTTCCCAACCAGTTTGTTCGTATTCCATTTGATGGGATCAAAGTCAGACTACTGTGCATAATCTATTTTTTACTATGAATGTGTTACTTTTCCAGATAAAACCTTTTATAGATACTATTGCATTTCCGGTCAACTTTGTCGTTAATAACACCGCAAAAACAATACGTTATCAATTTATTGAAGGATGAGATGGCATACCGCATTCATGAAAAATGCATTGTGGAAGTTTCAAATTGTCAATGCGTTAGAAAAAACTGATCACTCCCAAACCGTGTGTTTTTATTTAGCAGGAGGAGCGGAAATGAGAATGAAAGATGGGTGAAATATGCCAGTTTATTCACTCACCTTCCTGGTTACGTATTCGCACTTCGATAGATTGGCTACGCTTGTGGTTGGTCACATGGACAGTCAGCTGTGTGAGATGCGCGTCAACTGGGAAACTGTACGTTTTGGCATTTTCACCCCAAGTGTCTTGCTGCAAAATGTGCACTTTTCGAGCCTCAACTGCGGCCTCAACAACTTGCATGAACTGTATGCATGCGCATAGGAATAAAAATGAAGCACACGTATGAAGTGACGCGTCGATTAACTACTGGAAACACGATAGAGTATACCGAAAGGTAATTAATAATATACTACTGGATATTCACATGATATCTTATGATACTTGTTTTAGGATCACTGGGCCGTTCTAGAGAAAAAATTAGGTAGCCTTATTTTTTGAAGTTGTTTGTTCTCTTACTTTTGTGTAGTAAATGGTCTTCAAATGCCTTGCATTATCGCTTCTGATAATTATTTTCGTGCTAAGAAAAACCACCATCATCAGTTATTTGATCCACAAGTATACTTTTGCTGATACTTCATGAAAGATTCGAAATTGAGGCAACTGGTAGCAATGTGATACGTATTTCTCATATTCCCCTCAGTACTGCCGCCTAATGTCTCCACAATATCTCGAATAAAACAAATTCTTACCATTGGGTTGCACTGATAGATGGATATGAGTTATCCTTTAGAAAGCGAATTTCGTAGAGCGTTATAAACTCAGCTTAGGCAATTGTGGAACTCGGGTATTAACAGCTATTCAATTTTTTTTGTAATTGTTGGTTCCTGGTGATACATGGACTGAGATCCGACTTATCGGGTTTTCCTTCTCTCTCGCTTTCTCTCTCTCTCTGTCGTTGCAGATCGAACACAAGCAACCCCCATGGACGGGGGTCGCATCCAGCATACCACGGTAACGCATACCGAGAATAACCAAATCTAACTTGTTTTTCTTGTTTACTCAGAAAACTTTTGGATCGCTGTTTGTCTTCTACCCAATGCTCATCCATCAACATTACGAGTGAATTTTTTGTTGGCCATTCTATACTTTGAAAATGCAAAGATTTTTTTCAGATTAGTAAAGGGAACTTCAGTTCTACGCAGCATCCATGAGTGATAAACAACTGTTTTCGCCGTGCTGTATAAAAATCGGGAAAAGTTCACGAGAATTTCTATGCAACATCTGAAACTTTTTGAGCCAGAGATATGAAACAGTCGTTCCAGTACTGGAATGCTGTCATTGCATACTATCACGTGGTTTTACCAAGAAAAATACAAGAGCAGTAACCAAGATTTCTGGGCTGCGGTAACTTTTCGAAATAAGAAACTAATTATCGACTGTTTTTATGATTGGCTTTGTCTGTAGCCTTGGCTGTACATTTCACCGAACTCTTGACCACCAAGCCCCGCATTTCCACTCATATTTCTGAAGTATTCTCACTGGACGAACAATTTGGGCACCAAGACCAGCGATCAGGAAATTCCGTAAGACGTCAATCTGATAAAGTCAACATAATGACTATTGAGAATTATTGGAAACCTTCCTAGGAGCGAAATACTTGGAAGATGTTTGAACGTCAATGCACACCGAAATGGGTTGTTTTTCAGAAGAATTTTTCTCCGGCTATTTTATCTTCGACCCTGTTGTACGACGATCTTTTTAAAACAATAAACAATTCACAGTCTCGGAAGAAAGCCGATCTCGTAAATAGAACTAAATTTCACTACAAAAGTACCATTGATTTTGATTCACGTTTATCATGAGCATCGTCTATAAGTGATGGTTTGTGTATTTATAAGAAATGATCAGTCAGCGTATCACACGACTGGAGCTCGTTTGTTTTCAGCTTTAATCATGCATTGTGGTTAGGTGCCTCACTAAAAAAGCGCAGCCTTTGTGGCATACGAATCTAGTCTTTCTTTTCTCGTTGCAGTCTCAATAGAGAAGTAGTCAACTTTTGAAGTACTTTTAATCTAGTGGTGAGTATTTATTATCTCTTAAGTCCAATGTCGAGGAGAGAAGCAAAGTCTCCGGCTGCAGTGGTCAAAATGAATTAGTTTACTGACTCCGTTTGTGTGGTCTCGCGTGTATTGATCTGATTCTGGTTAGCTGAATACTTTCTGCGATGATTTGACAATGAGCAATGAGCAAGTGATGCAGTTGGCCGATACTCTTGTCCATTGTACCGTCCAGTCTCTATAACCAGTCAATTTTACGCCAGGACTCGATGAAAAACTTATCTGGTCACCAGTACACGATGGAGCTTGACAGATTTGAAGAATTGGCTTTCATCTCGGAGGTCAGAGGTTAAAATCCCCCCACCCCCACGGGTCACTTTATTGGCAGACAATAATCCACTGTTGTCGAGTTTGTTACCACACGCGACTTACTGGGACGCCACATGATTCTCTACTCCAAGTCTCAGGATCCGGTTGCTGGCTTTCCCTAATAGTGCAGTGGGCTTTTGAAAAAAAAGAAGTATACCAGTTACGCTTCATTCATGAGTTAGAAAATGATTTAAACTATTTTTTGGGTCCGATTGGGTCGAGTTCGTCTGACTTTCCTGAGGCTGATTTGTTTTTGAGTATAAAAATCAAAACAATAGAATCACTGGGAAGTTGAATCGTTGTTTGATATATTATGTTGCTTTAAATGTGTCTGAAACACGTTCGCTCTGAAAGCAATCAGTATCGTAATGATAGTTTTGTTTATTTATAATATCAAAGTGCCACATGAGGATGTTTGACGGCAAACATTTCCATACGGCGGTCTTTGCTTGATAAGTACCTCTTTCGGCTTGGTTAAGTGGACAGCTTGGACGCGAAACATGCAAACCGCTGATAAAACTTTTTACGGTTTATCAGAGTGAGATACGGTGAGGAAAAACATGCACAGAAATGACACCCTCAAAGTTGGTTTGCTCGACCACCCCCCCCCCCCCCCACTCCCCCAAAAACTAAATCCTGATATCTACTAACATGATGCCTGAGTCATCGTCAACAATGGAAGTGACATTTGGGTCATGTTGCTGTGAACGTTTTTCATATTGTTCTACCTTAAGTCAAAAAGTACCGGGAGATAGGGTACTGACTTTTCCACTTTTATCAGAAAAAACGGAACAGATGGTCAAATTATAATCGTGGAATTTATTTCTGTCTATACCAAGCGTTAAACGTTTTCTGCACAATAAAAGAGAAAGGAGTGGAACAAGATTTTCAATGAAAGACGTCTTGTTGGACTGAGCACTATTTCGACTACCTGCGCATATGGATTTCTAAAGAAGATTTCAAGTTTTGTAATGGAAAATCCACTTGCATTTACAGGGAAAAGTCGGACGCCGCGAGCCGGAGTCGAACCGGCGTCCGACTTTTCCATGTGAATGCAAGTGGATTTTCCATTACATACGATTCAGGCTCCTCGTGTCAACAATAAATTCTCTGAATATATTTCAAATTTTGTTATGATTCTTTATGTATCACCAAGGTTCCGCTCACTATTTATAGGCCACTTAAAAATCATAAGATATCCCCCAATTTGAGACTTATTGTTATGATAATTCGGAAGAAACTATGGACAAAAGGAGGTTTATTTGGACACATGTTTTGGTTACCACTCACATGACTAGGATACAACCAAACTACTCATAGGCATCAAAGAAGTACAATACGCTATAGTCCAGTACTGATTCGTTCGTCGGGTGCAATTACATGTTGTTCATTCCTGCACGTCTATCCATGTGGCTTCATCAAGTTTTGATTAGGCGTAGTATTCCTAATTCTCGTGAATCAAGCCTGTTAATTCCGAATAGTACGAGGTGTTCCATCACATTGTCAGCAGTGCTTACCTGCTGAGTGTCAATTAGTACTCATACTTGGTACGTATAATTGCAGATTCCACGATTTATTGGCGGATCTTTTTCATATCGGCATTCCTTTTTTGTGGCTTCAATCTATGTATGACATAAAACTCAGAGAATATGTCAAATTAAAAGTGGTTGATTCCAACGGTGAAAATGTTTAGGAGAGTTCACATAAATGCCCTTTCAGATTTTGCTTATAAATTTTGCCAGTGGATCCAGTCGTCATAGAGAGACTAAGTATAATAACTTTCTTCAAATAAACATCACTTGAGATAAAACGGTTTAGTTTGTTTTATCGATTGTTGTCAAAGCATTTTTAACCAGAAAATCTGACTATCCTCAGAGTTGATCGCAATACAATGCAAAGATGAATCAAGCCGGTCATTAACGCTTCACTGCATTCAGGAAGCGAATAAAGACAAATACACCTATGAACTACATAGTAAATCATGTTCCAGATGTTTCGTTGAATCATCTGTCATAAATGGTTATTTCAGGTCCTGGCAGTCGAACTGGAGCTCATTGTTCTAACTCAGTTTGCGATCCATTTGTCGACGTTCTCGGTGCATAGCTCACAAGAGATCAGAGTCAGGATTCCAGGTATGCAAGACCTTGTTTGAACTAATCATTACTGGGGCACCTTTAGCAGCAATCATGCAACTTTTATGGTGTTGACGGCTCAATTCATCTTGGGCGGTACACTGGACGATGAGGTAGCATATATGAAAGCATTGTGTTCGGAGTGGCCCTATGACTAAAGCCCAATGTCCAGTGCAGAGGTTAACGAACTACAAAGTTGGCATGTGGGGCACATTCGAAGTTGATATCCTTGACTGAATCCCAACGGGAATAGTAACACTGGATTTGAGCGTATTCGCGTTTGCCAAACCAGAAGTCACAAAATAGGTAGCCACGGTTTTTAAATATCAGAATGACAGATGGTGGTCTCAAGGTCATCACCGTGGACTTTGGGAATTTACGACCGAGGTTCAACTCCCTCCTCCGACAGTCACTTTTCAATTTGTCGGCCTTCCATTGGCAGCGACCACCTCCCAGAAACTTTGTGCTACTTCGCACAGTGAATAAATGAAGAGAAATTATATTTATTTATTCCAGTTATATCCAGGAAGAACAGAAGGTTCTAGTTTTATATTACTAATTAAAACTTATCTTCAGATTGGAGTTCTCGAGTCAGTAAAGTGGATGCAAATCTTCCTCTGGTTAAATTTTGAGTACGGACCTCCGTGTGGCTTTCGAGTATCTCGTACGCGGTACAGCAGTAAAGGCACACCGAGTTCGACTGTGCCCCTGGTATTCCCTTTCAAATATCTATTCCTACGGTTCATCTATTTCGTGTCCGCCCTTGATCGACACGAATACACAAAACAGATTTCCCACCGTATTCTCGCCGTACATTTTCGGTTTGGCATTTCTCTTCATTCAATCACTGACGGGTTCATTCCGAAACTGAGTGTTACTCAGTTCCCTGTGGCGATTTCCCCTTGGCAAGAATCAGTACATAAATTTAAATGTGAAGAAGAAAAAAATGCACATCTCGTTATTATTTCCCCATCCATGGTGAAGGTTTAGCGGTGAAATAGAAAAATGCGTCCCTCGGAAAATTATTCTATTGGTCGGAACACAATTGCACAAAAAGAATGGACCATAAAATGCCACATACCACGTCCCTGGTAAACTATGTTTTCGAATTTAATTTATCATACGTATTCACCATTAGGTGCTCAGGGGCTGAAAAGTCAACTTATTTTTCAGTTAAAATTCAGGCAGAAAGAGACGAATATTTGAGATATAACCAAATGTGCTCGTTTGTGTGCAAGCCTTATTGCGAAACTACACTCGATAAAAAGCACATCGCTGCGGTTCTTCAAAGATTTGTTATTTTTGAGAAAGAAACGCTATGCCAAGTGAACCCCTAGGCAACCGCCAAACAAAGACCAGGAAAGGCGAAGTTGACATGGCCTGGGACGGGACGAAGGTATTTACTTTCGCTGTGATTAGACAAGGAGGACGCTAAAGTGGGGTAAGATAAGCTGTGGTGATTTATTGCGATCCGTAGACTCCCAACGTTGTGAATCTAGCTTTAGGCAAAGTTCACTTAATCCGATAAGCAGTCGATAGTACAACAGTTATTTTCGCACGACCGACGTCATCACTCGAAGATCTTGTAGTCCCCTTCAGATATCGATTACTCTTTACGTCCACTGATTTTTTGGGGTCATAAGTTAATTCAATCGAACTCTGTTAATGAATAACTTTCGAAAAGCTTACGAAAAGCTACTTACTGCACCCACACTTCAACTACTGCTTATCTGAGCTCTACTTTTATCGTACTTTGCTGCTTATAAATACCACATGGAATAAACTCAAATGCACCAGTTTGCAAGCATTCTGCTTTCAGTTCGCATTTTCCGGTCGCTAAATGACGCGTCAAAAGTCCATTACTAGTGCATTCGTAACAACTTCAGAGATGGACTCAAACTATACTTGAACGATCCAAAATATAATGTAATATTGCCCATCCCCCCCACACACACAGCGATCAACTGCATCAACCGACAGCGGTCTGTGTGAAAAGAAGGTATTAGTTTGAGGATCGGGTTCATATTTTTGTCGTGGCTCGAGAGATACACAACACTGATGAGTTTTGATATACTAGACAAGACTGACGCACTTTCCTTCCATCGCTTTTCAGCAGATTTCTGAGCGTTGACACTTACTTGATGCATTACAACGTGATATCTGAAGCAGATGGCATGCTTATTATTACTCCGATTATTCACTTTTATCGGTAAAGAACTTTCATCCACACAGTTTGCTGCCTGGTGATGGCCGTGTTCTTGTTTTGTCCAAAACTGGTTAATCATGGATTTTGACAGTTTGGTTTGTGAATTCATCCTCATCAATTGTTGGCACCTGGATCAATGATGATAACTTGAAAAATGACAGCTGCGTTTTTGTTTCAGGCGCAAATTTTACACTCGATAAAAAAGCGAAATAGTTCTTTATTCTTGTGATTCACCAATCCACGCAGTTACCGGCCTAAAGCCAGCTGTGTGACTGGGTTTTGGTTGTCCACACAAATAATAAACTGACCAACTTAGCTATTAATTGTTTTATTATTTATCCTATTTATTTATTTATTTATTCATCTATTTACAAAATCAACGATCCCTATCTAATTCACTCGTATACACGCACATTAGCGTCCTCTTTACTGTGTTTACCTTAGATTGGGTTGACAATCGCGACAGCTGGTGGGCTGCATGGTTTCTGTTGACTTTACCACAACTGCTTTCAGAAAACCAGTGGATCGACCTAACTCTGGACACCGCTCTAAGTGAGTCTCGGTAAATTCGGAAAACTGGCAAATTATTTTCATCGATAATAAAGAGTCCTAATTTCACCGATCTCTGTTTTCATCGTGTTTGAAGAAAACTGACCAGGCTTTGGACATACCACTAACAACAACTGGGCCCGCGGCAATCAGCAACGATACTGAGTGAATGAAGTGAAACGTTTGGCTTACCTCGTTCACTTATCCTTTTCCAATGATGTACAACTGCCCGGAACTCACAGTGGCAATCTGTCGGTAGGCTTCGAATCCTGGTTCGTCTGTTGAGTTACAAAACCCGGTTAGGACGAATACAACCTTAAGTAAGAGGTAAACAGATGAAGAGTGGGTAGTGAATGAAAGTGATGAATAATAATTCATGGAAAAGTACGCAAACTCCCAAAAAGGCTGCTCTGCTGGATAGAAAGACATGAATTTGCTATTGTGCGGTCAAAATCCATATGCGCGTCGTAAAACTCAACAGTTGTTCATAATTTATGCTATATAATATCTATAATGTCAGAAGTGGTCGCTGTCCCTAAACTATATATAGTTATATCTATGGACTCCAGCCTGGACTTTATTCTGCTCAGGTGATGCTCTTGCATAGCACGCCTCACAGCAATGCGATTGGTCTGGAACCGAAGGGCACGAATCGATCAGTACCCTCACAAGATAGATGAACAGAGTTGAATAAAACAGATTATAAGATTAGTGAAATTTCCACGTTAACTGATGAAAAACAGAATGCAAAATTGGAAAGCTACCTCAGCAGACATGGAGGGCCTACTAGACGTAAAAGCTGTTTGCCCACAATGACAATATTCCGTTGGGCTCAGCAGATTATTCAGCTGATTTATGATATTTTGACAATCCTGGGAAAGGTATTTGTTGGCACACCTGTCCACTGCTATCCATAGCTAAATAACTACTCTCAGTTACATAGTACAGTATACGTAATTTCTGAAAATCGTCTTGCAAAAACTAAAGGATAAAGTCATAGTATTTGCTACGCCGTACTGTTTTCGGTTTTCCTGCTAGGTATAACTGAAATACCAGTTGCAGATAAAAAGCTATATTTTCTAACTGAGGCATATTCTTTTGCCTGGGTTTTGCACATTCTTTAAGGATCAGTAGGTTCACATCTATTCAGCAGTCCCGGAGAGGAACCACGTATCAAACCTCTAGTAATGGTGGTGCAAATTAATCGCATGACTGCTCCATGGTTTTGAATGTCCTTACGTCATCGATACCAGTCTTGTTAGGAAATCTCCCTCTGCGATGTGTAGCGATGAAGACATGTTCACTTAGCGTACAGGGAATATGGGAGAGAATTTCGTAATTCACATTTACATCGACCTATTGACTGGTCAGTCGTACCAAATTGTGAAAAGGCTTATAGCTATGCAATTCGGGCAGCATATCCAAGATACAAAAACTACGTCCCCACCTGACTTTGTTTTTGTTGTATTAGATTGAGCACGTTGGTTGTACGGTTGTAGTCTTTTGCACTGCTGTCTGTGAACACGTAGATCAACGAGTTTGGACGGGACGCTTCTAGAGCCAATTCTATCCCAGTTATTGTCATCTCCGGACAATCGCCACCGCCTTGGGTGTAGACACTATCCAAATAGTGATAAAATGTTTTTGTCGAAGTCGTTACTCGGGCTGGGCCGACATCTGAATTCAGACGGAGGAAGAACAAAAAACTCAATCAGGTTAAGCGGTGGGGTAGTTTACTTCTGAAGAATCAGTGCCACAAGCATCATTGAAATCAACGGAGACATTTAAGGGACTGGTGCATTGCATGTCTTATGAAAAATTCTCGAGTGATCACACCTAACAAGTCATTATTACGTGACACGAAAACTGAAAGGAGATACTAAGAGATTTTTAAGGTAGTACTTGCCAATCTCTTCTGGCTATCAACGAGTAATTTTAATTCAGCACTATATTGTATTGACATCATCAAAAGCTTTTGTAAAAAGCTGGTCTTTGTAGGTAAATTCACAGATAGGAATTACTCCAGATGTAATTACAGTAAAAACCGATAGAGCTTAGTAACCAATTACCCTAAATCATTGGTAACAGGGCTCACTTTGAAACAATTAAACAAGCAAACAAACAAGTAAACAGTAGTAAAAGTCAGTTTTGGCCGTTAAAATCTCCATCTGAAATAAGTATAAGAGGCGGTCTCATTGCTTTCGATCAAAAAAGGAGCCTTAAAACTACGTGGCAATTTCTTCATCAATCAAAAGAAAGGAATTATGCCAGGCGAAATAACAGATCATGGGTCTCATGGTTTCAGAAACAGTTTTTGATAGTGGAAGAAAATGAAGTCCTTGCTTGGTAGTACAAAATAAAATGGGCTTCATGTTAAGCGTGAGAACCTTTAAATTAGTATGTTAGTGGAATAAATGAATCAGGAGTCTGACGAGCTTGTTTGAACCTAGCTCTTGGATCGATTGTCTCTCTGAGGTGACTTTGAATTACACGCGATTCGTGGTGCAGCTTGACACATGAACGAACAACGACCTGGTGCAAATGAACCGAGTGAAAGAATATTATTCTTAAATGCTCTGTCACAATTCATATTCCACAAAATTTCAGGAAAAAGCAGAAAGGCACAATGGAAACTGACGAATATGTAATAAACGAGAGTTTTCTGACTGACAAAGTTAATAGAATTATAGTGAGTGAAGTGTTTTTGGAAGCTCCAAAAGTAGAACTGAACCGCAGGGGACGGTTTCCACAGATTGTGTATAATTATGGACAGATAGGCTGATCATGACCGTAGTTGTGAAACTCCAAGCTGTTTTCCGTTACACCACTTAGGAAAAGTCCGGGAGGAATACAGTTCAGTAGAAGATAAGGTGGTGCTCATATATATGCTTGGTCAGACTTCCAATCTTTCCACCGGTGCTGTGATTTCTATCTGGTGCCATTCAAAGATGATACATTGGCAGACATTGTGCATGGACGATTGTCAGAAGTAAGCAAAACTACGTTCTAGGCAGTTAAGCTCCGGGTTTTGTTCGAATCTCGGCCAGTAATGCTTCTGCGGTTGAAAGACAAAGTGCCTAATTCTGCAGCCTCGTTCTGTGTTTATTCATTCACTTGTTCCTGTGAATCAACGTATATCAGACGAACGATCAGGCTTTTGTCTAAACGTATCCGCGAACACTACCCTGAATGGTTAAACACTGGAGCAGTAAAGTCATTCACCAGAGCTGTCATTTATACAACCGATTCGCGCGTCGATTGCAGCCCCAAAGTATCAATTACTTGAACACCCTTTCTTTCCCCTTCGTCCATTTCTGTCAGAGGGCAATAAAGACACAAAGCTTTTCATCGCTTTTCTGAAATAAATCTAAACTTCAAAATCAAAATAGATGAAACAACGTATTTCTTTTGGTGGGACATCACGGTTCACGAACAACCATGACCGATGGTCCTAAATGGAATCCGACTCCTGACAGAAAACGACTCCAGTCTGCAAGAGAGGACTACACTGTCAACAAAATACACAGTGAGTCTGGTAGATCTTTGCCCAGAAACCCATTTCCAATTCAATAAAAAATACATACAAGCAAATACGAAGTACACCAATGGGGTGGCCACCTCCAAGCCTTCTAGCAGACGCAGTCACGAAGCAACTTGAGGCCAATACATTCGAAGTATTCGAACCTCGTCTGTGGATCAGACTCGTGAACCACACTTTTGTGGTACTCCAAAAGTCCCAATTAAATCCATTCCATCAAAGTTAGAACATGTTTTTGCCCGGGGAAAAATGCGCAAAAGAAAAAGAATGATAGGTGAAAGTGCCGTTGCTTGACATTCTGGTCAAGAGACAAGCAGATGGAAACATAAAAACAATAGTTTATCGGAAACAGACAACAACAGACCGCATACTAAAGTTGAAAAACCAAACACCCAACATGTCATTTGAAAAGCGGTGTGCTCACCCTATACACTGCAGCACACCCGAACTCCGAAAAAAACTAATCAGACTTTTCAAGTTAGTCATCACAAACAGTTACCCAAAGTGTTTCGTCAACTCTTGTATTCGAGGTAACGGAAAAAGCCAGGAGGAAAACAGCTTGGGAAACAACCGTGCATTCATACATATGTGGAGCATCAGAGGTTGCAGAGTGTATGCTAAAACTGCTGGGCCTCAAAGTTGCCCACAATCTCGTCAGCTCCTTACGGACCGCCCTATAATGACGGGGAAAAATGGCAGGACGAACACGACCAATCATCAGTGGCTTACGCCATTCCATGCCTAAGATGTTATAACGAAGACGCAGATGAGAAAGGTAAACTATTACCCCTACACGAACATAAGCTAACTTTAGGAGACTCCAATCCACGCTCGTAGATTTGGAACCCCTGCGCGTAAACGGGTCATGAGGTCAAAACCGATAGCGCAAGACTGGTCGCCCCAGCAAAGATGGAACGCCTGATCCTCGATGCCCTCCATCCAATCAGTTTGCTCAGTCGACACGTCGAGATCGATAGACATTTAGTCATCCCAGTAAGACCTGTACCGAATCAGTGAGAAACGGACAGACGGGTTATACAACAAAACTAGGCGGAACCAGCCGTCCCGCTCACACACTCGTTCACTCATGTTTGATAACGAGTCTTAGTTTGGATCAAAACGTTACAGTAAACGTTTTACAACTCACTTTACGGCTTTGCTTCTGAACTGCAAAACCCAATTATGGAATTTAAGCGGGGACCCATCACAGGCGGAGAAAGTTCAGGAATGCCACGACAAAGAATGCCATCTACGACCAAAGTTGATAGGTGTTAAGACTCGATGGTCCGGTAACTTGTATCGCTCGACCATAATCGATCAACTTGCTTTGTTTTGCTACATTCATCTTCGACCCAAGCATCTTTGAGACAGCAACAGCAAACGTTCAACGTGACGCGCAAGACGATTGGCATGTTCCAACACTTGCAGTCAAGCTCCAATGGAGTGTGATCGAATAAATTCCTCGGAGAAAGTGCTTCGTTCTCTCCTCGGCTCAACGGACCATTTTTCTAATGGAACGAAATTCTTACACACTTCGAGCAATAATTGAATCCATGTTATGGAATGACGGAATTTGATGCACTGTGTGAGATGTGCCAGATACCCTTGTCATCCCCGGGAAAAGGTGACCTAAATAAGCATCGATTTTGACCGGCGCTTGCCCAAACACATGTGGTTTTTGTCCACTAAGATGAGTCATAACTAAAAACGCACGTGCACACATTTAACGACCGTGTGCTAACCAACACGCGGGCGAGGGCATGAGATTTGATCTACGGGCCTATTTTCACCCCGGTTCCTCCACGTTAATCACTACAGTGCATCCTGTAGTTGTCAGCTGTTGCACAGCTTCGGTCTTCTTGAAACGGCACACAGCTTCGAGCTGTCAAAACCTGACCGCATTCTCTTCTCTTATATGTCTGTGGGTATGTGCATCAGCATGTCAGTGCATGCATGCGAACGAGCGAGCACACGCGCATTTTCCGTGGCTCTGTTAGGATGAACAAGCCCGACTGCGAATCCAATCCGCGAGCACGACTGTTCGACTGATTGCTCTCTCATTTAGAGGGGAAATTTTCACAGGTTGTGTAGGTATATCGACGCCTCGTCATCGTGGTCTCCACTACATGATTATGGGAAGCGGGAATTATGACACCTAAAGTGTGTGCGCTAGATAACACCAACCACCTACTAATCAATGAGGAAATGACAGTGAAGTTCGCCATATCCTTGCAACCTCATGGTGATATTGCGTTGAAAAGAACAACATTCTCTGCTTAGGGGTGACCATACATTGGAAACTATGAGAACCAAAATCCACTACAGACGCTTAATCAGTTTTGGAATGAAAACTCGGCTAGTGGAAAGCTTACGTTTGTTGGCATATCCTCTGATCATTTTACGCATAGTTTATTACTTTTTCTGCGTGCCAAATGCTAAACCTCGAGGTGTCCAAAGTACCTTGATTACTATATATTCCCAAGAATGGTCATTCAGTACAGTTTAGTTATTTCAACCATGAACCACATTTCCGCGCTTTGGTTTTGGTTATAACTCCACAGCATCATCGAATCGGAAATGAAGTAAACCGACACTAAAAGGAAAAAAAGTAAACAGATAAGATGGACGTAAGTGAAAATCATGTAGACTAAGTTCGAATCCAAGTACCCCACTATTTGTGGCACCCAGATATCTTTCCAAATGTCCCCATTTTCACGAGAGGCTAGTCTAGTGGACGACGATCCGGGAGCCTCGCAAGTTCTATCAGGTCATATGAATTAGTCAAGTTCTCCATACATTTTCAGCAAACAGTGGACTGATCACATCAACCAACCGTCCGAAATCCATCGCCTCGGAGTACAATGTCAACTACTGAAGCCTCCAGGTGAGCACACGTAAAGAACCGCGGCTACCGTAACCAGTTTATAAAACATTGTCGTAGGAAGATCGGATAAAATGATAGCAAGAAGTCCTGCCTAAAACCGTTTTTAGATAAATGGGCTCTCATGTAAGCAAAAGTGCTATATAGTCGATAAATCACAATACTAAATCTTCTGCAACGTCTACGAGTTACCCAAAAACAGTAAACTTCGACACTTGTGAGCGTGGAAAGATCCCTTAGCATATGATTCACGAATCA